AGCGTAATCATGGCACGTGAGTAGATCACGTTAATGAACGCGTCGCGTGAACGCGGATGATCTCATCCTCTTGACGCCATCCCCCTCTATGTGCGATCCATCCATTGGCCATGGAATAGGAATGAATCACGATGTGGAGCGTCTTTATAAACCCGAATTAACTCCAGCTCAACACCTCGACCTGCCTCTTCCCTCTGACCAGAAGCTTGTGACTCTCAGGCAAGCATCCGCCTCTGGCCATCTCAAGAAGAGACTGAACATGTCCCAGCGAGGAATCATCGCGCTCTTCGACCAGATGTTTGAGCTGCATCCTGGGTTCCGCCCAGCCATCCATGCTCGTGGAGTGATGCTGACGGGATCATTCACACCGACTCCCGACGCGGCTGCGCTCAGTGCTGCGCCCCACTTTCACCAAGCCTCCACGCCCGTGACGGCTCGCTTCTCGAGCTCAACGGGCTTGCCTCTGATTCCCGACAACGATCCGAACGCAAACCCACGAGGGGTCCGCTCCCGCTTCAATCTCGCCGAGCACAAACACACGGATATCATTGGGATCCCCCCCCACATTTCCGCTCACGACGGCCGGGGCTTCCTCGAATTCATGAGGGCATCGGCTGAGGGCTCAGTCGCAGACTTCTTGGTCTCGCATCCGGCGGCAAAGACGTTTGTCGAGACCCCGAAACCATTTTCGACCATTTTCGCTAACGAGGCGTACTACGCACTGCACGCTTTCAAGTTCACCAGCCGGACGGGGGAGACACGCTACGGGAGATATTCGATCGTTCCAAGCGCAGGCGCGCAATATCTCGACCAAGTGACGGCCAAAGCAAGGGCGAGAGCTATCTGTTCGACGAGCTTCAGGCGCGCATCGCGCGGGGCCCTATCTCCTTTGAGATCCTGCTGCAAGTCGCACAGGACGGCGACAACGTTGATGACACGACGGTAGCATGGCCTGCAGACAGACAGAAGATAGTGCTAGGTATCTTCTCCCTGGACACGCTCGTCCCAGACAATGCTGTCGCGCAAAAGCAGATCATATTCGACCCCATCCCCCGCATACAGGGGATCGACGAGTCCGACGACCCTCTGTTTGAATTCCGGGCTGCACTATATCTGATTATTGGGCGCCGTCGCCGGGCAGCATAGTATGTACTCAGCCTCGTAAACCAATGTATATTAGCTTCTCCGATCGCGCGTGACTTCTCCGGCTGGTATCTCTGGAAATTGCATCTGAGACGGTGGTTCGTGAGCAGATAGAAGTAAAACTCCAAGATAACGCACCCCAATCCAGCTTCTTGTGTGGGTGTCAGCAGGAGCAAAAGATGCTTTCCGTCTCGCAGAACAAGTAGTTCCAAGGGAGTCTGAAGCACGCTTCTAAGCCCTCCGCTCCATCTTCGGAAAACGAACAAACCTCTTGTTCCGTGGCGGCCCGGATCATCTGGGAGTACGTTTTTCGGCGCCATGTCTCTCACCGGAGTCTCTCCAAACGACATCACCAAGTCTTTCTTCTGCAAGCCCTGATTAAGAGTTTCAGCTTCCTCGAAGAACCAGACGACACTGAAACACACCGCGACTTCCGCAGGCCCTCCCGGCTGGATTCCAAGAACGCGGAAGAACGGCTTGAAAAAGCCTTTCGGCAGCCCAGCAGTCGATAGCCTCGATGTGTCGAGGGGAGGGGCATCCAAAGAGCCGTCCGCTTCGGACGAAACACCGTAGAAGGCGTCCCTTTTTTCTTGCAGCCACCTTCTTGCCTGGAACAGAACTCTCAGCGGAAGAATGACCAGATCAAGACGTAGCGCACGGGCTGCACGACAGTCTCTCTGTCGTCGTTTCCCCAGTCCCAGAAAAACAACGCGTAGATGCCGACAGCTTGGTGTATGCTCATTCAGTCAAGTGAGCGCAGGAGTGTCATTCGCTATTCGCACCTGGAATGACAATGAAGTTACCGACTCCGACAGCTTTGAAGAACCAAGGACTTCTGAAATCGCCCCGACCGCCTGGTTCATTCGGTGTTGACGGAGAGCCTGCCGGAAGCTTCGCATTCGCGTTCGCGCTCGTGCTCGCTTTATTTCGCGAGATTTGTGTTGACGCGAAGAACCGACGCGGCGCGCGAGGCAAAGTGGAACGTAAACGCGACAAGTGCATTGGTCTGGTGGTTAATGTATGAGAAGAGATAGTGCACAGCCACCAATCGTCCGTCGGAAATGACATGGATGAACAGTATGTATGGATACAGACATAACAACAATAATGGTTAATATGCAGGACAGATATGAACAAATGACATATGCGAGATGAATCCAGAAAGAAGAGGCTAGGATGTGGCATGCAGAGCAAAGGAGGACACAACTGGAACAGACGACGCGGATCCTCATGAAGGTGTCGGGGCCGTTGACCTGCTGGCCCAACCGAACAAAGGTCGCATATCCGGGGCTGCCGAGTTGTCTGCCGGCTGCCGTGGTTCGACGAGAAGGCTGTGATCAGATAAGTCTCGATCGGGTGAGCAAAGGAGGTACTGCTCGCCTTCGTCGATACAGATCTTGGAGATCTCCGTGGTGCTTGGACATCTCAAACGCGCCAGTGAGGTACTGTTGAACTTCAGGAATTCCCCTGAGATGGTACGGGACCTGGAATCGCTGCATGTCTGAGAATAGGTTCAGTGGCGCTCCCTGTGACTCAACGATACCATGACTTGCCTTGCACGATCCGAGCTAGTTTGTGGTATTTGTTAAAGTTGATTAATTTCTTCGATGCATTCACAGGAGAAGTTCGGTGGGATGGGTTGCCTTCTCGGCAGAACGTAACGTCGGTCAGGTATAGTCCGAGGAACGGGACAGCAGGGGGAGCAGTGCTCCGTAGTTTTGAACGGTACTCGTGGTAGTTGCGGGAATGGTCTGCTAGACGTCGCAATGTCTCGAGTTGCGCACGGTTTTTCTGCGGTAGACCCTGCGCAGGATGAGCGCCTGGTAGGAATGACATCAGAGCAGACTCACAAGCCAGGTCTGATGCAGGCGCGAGATGGTTGAGGAATCTAGAGCAGCCAACATCGATCTCGGGGTGCTGAAGTTGTTCAGCGACGAACACCGCTGTGGGAGAAGGTTAGATTACAGCTGGTATCAATAGAAGCACTCACATCAGCGACTTTGATGAAGAACTTGACGAGCAGCGTGCGCTTTTTCGCATCAGGTTCGCTGAGGATGCTCTCTGCAACCCAGCCAGTGATGGCTGTGCTCAGCGAAGAGACGGCCCTGACGTTAAGAGGCGGCTTGGCTCCTTCTTGCCCAGTCTCCAAGATCTCCTCGGGCTGTATTGCGCAGTAGAGATTGCACTCCATGATCGTCAGCTGTCTCGCAAGCTCCAGCGCATCGAAATCCGTGATAGCGATTGCTGCAAAATTCCTGGACCGCAGATGCGAGAGGAGCGTCTTGGTCATTAACGGCCGCGGGATCTCGCCCACCACCAGAGGCGCCAAGGGCGGGTTGATCGACATCCCTGGGTCGCGCGTGCGTTCACTCTTGGGACTGACAACTGACTTGACCCGGAGATCGAGAAGGTCCTTGATTCGCTGTGCAGGGCCAGGGAACATCACAGCCAAACCATTGTGCGTGAAATTGATCAAAGGCTCGAGGGCTGACTCATCAACACCCGCCCGCCAGTAGATTTCCACCCACAGCTTGATGAAGTTGGACACGCGCAGCCGCACCGGGATGCCCTTGCGCTGCTGCCAAAGCTGGATGTCTTCGTTCGAGATGCCCGCTGGCGGAACAAGGTTGTACCGTCGGATAATCGTGTCGACTAGCTCGATCGGCGACGAGAACAGCCGAAACGTCAAGAAGAAGACAGCAGAGAAAGCAGGATCCACTATGCTGTCATGCGGTGTCATCTTCTCGACCAGGACATCGAGTGTAGCGCCGACAAGGAGGCCGTCGTTGTTGTACGCCACATCTTCCGTCAAGTAGTCATGCGATAGCATCCATGCAACGGGATCTTGCAACAGCGCGCCCGCCTCCTCGGGTGGAACAGAGGGCAGCTCTCCGCGCAAGATTTTCTCTTCCAGTGCCTTTTCCTCACTTGCGTGGTTACGACTGCCTTCCCAGGTTGTGCCATCGTCCCCGCTCATGAGAGACGTCGGCGAGAGAGGCGGCAGCTCGCTCAGTGCATCACTGTGGAGGCCGCTGTCCGGTGATGTGACATGTGTGTCCTGCGACTGCACTGAACTCGAGTGGGACAACCCGCTGCTCTCCGACCCAGACGAAATTTCAGCCAACGCTCGGGAGGGCGTCGGCTGGGTAGACTCCTCTTCGTAAGCATACTTCAAAGCGCCCATGCTGCTTGATCTCGCGAGAGGAGGCTTGATCGAGAACTTGCTGGGGGTGAATGATATGCTTTCTGAAGCGTTGGGTAGATTGAGGATGAATGGACGCTCCCCGCTCGATCGGCTCAGACACATCTTGACTGCAGCCACACAATCAGCACCGACTTTGAGAGCCCCAGTTGCTGACCGCAAAAGCGCCTGCTTCTCTTCCTCCTCAGACATGGTCGGTGCCACCGTTACAGTGAGCACCCGAACAGATTCTGCGAGCGTGCTGGTCACATCGTAGAGTCCGTCCTTGGCGGCTTGCAGATTCGACAGCTTATTGGCTGGGATATCCCGATGCTGGAGAACTGCGTCGACGATAGTCAAAAGCTTGCACACCATCTCCACGATCTCGCGGACCAGCTCATACATATGACCGGTGCTGGAGGCATGCGAGGAGCGTGAATGCGAATGTGCGTGTCCAATGAAGGCGGCAATTGACGACAGATATTGGTCATGGGTGGAGCGCAAGGCATCCATCACCTGTGCGGTGGTCGAGGGTCCTACAGGAAACGACGGTCGCGTTGGCGGAGCCTCCAACGACGAAAACGAAGACGACGAAGAAGTGCTGTCCACAGAGTGTCCATTCGATCGGTGCCTAAGAACACGCTCCTTGAACAGATATTGCTCTGCCTTGCTCTTCGACGGAAGCTTAATTCCTGTAGGCAGCAAGGGAACCGGAGTTGACACATCATCCACTGATGTTCTTGTGGAACGTCTGAGATCGACTAGACTTTTAGCACGAAGTCCGCTGCCCTCCTTCCTTGGTGTCACGCGATTGGAGTGGTTGAAACCGGGATCCAATGCTTCAGCTTCAGCCGGGTCCACATTATCCCACGATGCAGCTTCTGTATCGGTAGAACCTGCGAGCGACCCGACCGACTGTCTTCTCTCCGGCAGCTCTATTCCACACTGAACAGCGACGGCGAGAAATCTCCGAACGCTAGCGAAAACCTGCCCCCCGAGACGGACCATTCCGTCGACCTGAGATTCCTGACTTGCCTCATCGAGACCATCTTCAGAAGCACGCTTGGCCTGAGCGACCAGAGACGCCAAAACAGACAATATCCTTCGTCGCTCCTGGGCGAGCGCTGGGAACCGACTGAGTATCGGCGCGTCGCGAACAAGCGTGTCTGTTGCGGAGAGCACGGATCGGACGCAGGAGATGATGCACGCCGTGGAAGGTTGGAAGTGAGATATTCGATTTGAACGCACGGCACTCTGTAGTAACGAAAGCCCGTGGAGGAGGGGGACCATGATCGGAGGACAGTATGAATCGATGTCGGGACCGAGAGCCTCTGATATTGACGGTCGTCGGGTATGTGAAGCACTGCGGGACGTCGAGCTGTCATGAGATGCTGCAGAGCTTGCGGAGAGTGTATGCGCATGACCCCGACTTCTTGACATCTATCGCCCAGTCAGCGCACGTAAACGGATCAGTGTAGGGAACACACCGAGGCTGTTGATACGTGCTCCTCTTCAGCAAAAGTCTCGATGTCCGTATTCACGTAGTTGCTGGGAAACCAACCCCTCCTACCCTCTAACTCTCCATCCCACCATCCACTATTGTCGCGGTTGAGGACATGGATGACTTGACCAGCACGAAAAGACAGACAAGTCGCGGTCTGATGTTGTGGAGCGTAATCGTGCATCGCAAGCACGTATTCGGGAACATTCATGCGTATGGTTTCATCGTAAACCGATTCCGACGGGCTCGTGGGACGCGACTGCGGGTCTGAAGCTGCGACGCTTCTGATGGGAAGATGGAGGGAGGATGTGGAAGCGGAAGCATTGGTAGATGAAGATTGTGGCGATAATATGGAGATGGAGGACGTGGACGAGGCGTTGGATGCGCTCCTGAGTCGCGAACGTTTAGCACTGGAGACCGTGAGAGTGTTTGTCGACGGCTTGGCATTCAAGGACGACGGTACTGGCGCTGCCGAGACCGAAGTGTCGATTTGAAGCCGAGATGAAGAGGTCATAATGGGTAGGGATAGCTGAATCCGTCGGAACACTGTGTTTGGAAGAGCTTTAAAGAGCTCGCCGGGCAGGAAAGTGGAGCAACGCACCTTCTGAGAGCAGAATATGTCCCTTGATTACAATGTCGTGCGGGTCGTCAAGGATAGCGAGCTATCCACGGGGTCGTGTAGGGGGACGGGGTAACCACGCTTGGGCGAGGGGTGAAGGGGCCAGCGGAGAGCTTGGGTATTCGACCCGAAGTGGGGGGAGGGAGAGAGGGAGCGGAACTAGCAACACAGGCCCACTCGGCCGAGCGAGATTGTGCGAAACGAAATTCGGAACAATTTCAAAATCGGGAGATCGCTCAGAAAGCACTTGGCCAAATCAACGGCAACCCATCACCCACAAACCAAGCTAAACCACACATGGTTCTGTCCAACTTCCGAATGTACATGCACCTCCTTACACGCGCCATGCTGGAGCTGCAGTCCGCGATTCTATCGAAGAACGATGTTTAACCTCATCGCATTATTTGCCGTCGGTCCCCGGACTCCGGAGCCCGAGGGTGGCGGTGTGACACTGCGTTTAAGGATAAGAAGTGGGACAAATATTTGGCTAGCATATTGTTCTTCGATCGTAGCGAAAATCAACAGGGTACGATGCTCGCATCTCAAGACGTAAGGTTGCGCTTATACGAATCTCAACGCGGGTTCGTGGCGACTGTTGCTGCCGCTTGGGTGTTTGATCCGATCAGCAAGCGCGTGCACATGCGCGCGGACAGCCACCGTAACCTACTACCAATTTGGTCCACTTCACAATGCTGTCCACCGCGACAAGACATTCGATCACTGAAGTTTTGGGATTAGTGCAGAAGACTGTACTGAATGCGGTCAGTGAATTGTGTCAGCTTCTTCTCAGCTCACCTTCTGCCCAGGCGACGGAGGTCGAAGAGGAGGCTTTGGCAAGGGTGGCAGCGCTGAATTCGGAGCTGCAAATCTTGCGCGTTGAACTCAACACTTCGAGGGCCGAATTACAAGACGCGAAGCTTGAACGTGACGACGTGCGCAAAAACCTCCACGAATCTGAGCTGCAAATGACCGGGTACGAACGCGAAGTGAGATTTGCAGTCCTCCGTGATCGCTGCAGAACACTAATAGCCCTCGACGACAGCTCGTACAGATGAGGGCAACGGCATGTCTAACTACAGTCCACGGTGACCTTCCTCTAACCCCAGGCACTTCTAGATTGACAACCTTCGACGTGAAGTTAATCACTGGAAAGAACAGGCCAAAAACTGGCAAGATCATTACACTCGTGTTGAGCAGGACCGGTGCGGGCTGTCTACGGAGCTTTTAACCGTGCGTCGAGTGCCGTTCAAATCGCCTTGTCTCTGATTTCCATACAATCAATTTTTGCAGCTATCCCGCTCCGCATTCTCCGAATCCCCCTCCAAGCCGCACAATGCTTCCGAATACATCAAGGGTTCTTCCTCGTCAACGCGCCCTCCGGCCTACAAATCTGTTCTCCCGCCTAGTCCATTAAATACGGCCTTGCTCGCGGAAAGCGCGAGCGTTCGCCGTAACCCCCTTACCAAGCCACCCTCTGCTTCAAGACCTGATCACGCCGACGGTGCATTATCTTTCCAGAAACCATCCAAGGGCGCCGCCGCAAAACAGGCGCAGACCTCAGCTCAACCGCCACGACAAATCTTCGTACGCCGCGTACAGGCCGTGATTCAAGTCAAGGAGGAGGAGGATTCTGCGCTGGAAAACGACGAAGACCAAGATGAGGAGGATCTGGGCTCGATACGGACTGTGAAGCGCCGGAGCAGGGTCATTCAGGATGAAGACGAAGATGACGATGGCGACGACCTGAGCTCCAAGAGCAGTGATAATGAGGCTGCTCTTGACCAGGCATTTGATGGAGCAGAGGAAAGCGGCGACGAGCTTGCATTTACAGTGAGTGCCTTACTGCAGCTTGGATCCTGTCAAGGTGCTCATCTGTCTGGCAGGGCCCCTCTGCCGCCAGTCGGTCCAGTGCTCAAAGCGTGCGCCAGAAAAAACGCAACGCAGGTGCAGTGGACGTGACCCCTACAAAACGTCGAAAGGTCGCGCTGCGAGATCAAACGCCCGCTAAGAGACGATGATCTGCGCCTCACTTGACCTGTCTTCTGTATCAACATAGTGTATCCTTATTTTTAAAAGTCGAATTGACTTTGTACTCATGCCCAAACCCGATGTAATAGATATTCAGTGTCACGACATACAAACTACATCATTTTCCCGTTCGCCGATCCAGAACCCTTGAGGGCACGGCCGGTGGCAAACAGAATGCCGTCGATGAGCGAGGCGACGGTCAAGACTCCGCCAATGATGGCACAGGTTCTGGGCAAGAAGTTAGGTCTCAGGATGATCAGCACCGGAAAATAGACTTACGAAGTCAGGAAGTGAGCAAATGATTGTCGCACTTCAGAGTGCACCACGAGAATCGGGGAGATTTCGAAGTTAAAGAAGGCGCCGGGGATACCAGAGACACCGTGCTGAAGGTGGACACCCTGAGCGGTGTCACCTTGCACACCTTCCTTCAAGTCTCGTTCGAATTGAGTCGAGCTGTATTGGTGGGTGTTGATCTGTTTCCTCGCAAGTCAGCGCCAGCAATAACACGATTAGGCAGTACGAAACGCACAATTTTCCCGTCCAACGTGCGGAACTGTGTAGATACAACTTTGAGGAAGTATTGGAACATATACTGGGATTTCGAAGTCTGAAGAAAGGTCAGTGACAAACAGTCAGAGGATTGAAAGGTCAACGAACCCGAGCACGACTGCCGTCCAGCGGATTCTGGCCAATACCCAGTCGCTGCTTCATCGACTCTCCGATCTTGGCCTTGTACATATCGTATTCATCGTCCCCTAAGGGGGTTGAGAAGGAGAGCTCGGAGGATGCAAGTAGACCGGACTTCACCTTGGAACGAGAGGTGATTAATGGTGTGTGAGAAGTCGTGGCGGTTGCCGTCGTCACGCAAATACGGGACCAATTCATAAATGTTCCGTGCACTGGCCTGGAAGGACCGACCAGGTGACAGGTGGATGTTACCGATGACCTTGTTGACCCGAACCCGGCCTGAAATGTTGCACCCTTCGTTCGACTGCTCTTTTAACTTGTCAGACCAGCCCTCTTCTTTGCACTGAGTAGAAGGAGTGAGTTCATCTTCTACAAAACTAGAGTGAGAAAACAAACGCACTTGTTCAATGGCATCGGGGTTAGAGAAACTCCATCCCCTGCTGATGTATCCCTGTCGGACCTGCTCGCACGTGTTACAGCAGCCGCCTTCCGGTTCGACACCGCCGTAGCAAGAGCCACAATAGTCAGCACCGCGCGCGGTGTTCAGTCTGTCGACCTCGTTTGACAACTCGGAGGTGACCGCCGCGGGGACAGCAGATCCGTCGGCCTGTAAACGAGCCTTCAGGATGTTGTGTGTAATGTCCCGCTGTGTCTCTCCGCTGATGTCCATAACGTCCAAGCTGAGCACTGTCGGCCGACCATAAGCCGTGGCCACATGGCAATGAAGCATGACACGCACAGTAGCAGGGAACGCGAGGGAATGTGACATTCATCTTCACCGTGAGCCGCTCTCCCCTGCTCTTGTCTACAACGATGGAGGTATCGATATTGACCCGTCGGTAGTCCAAGAACTCCATCGTGGTGAATGCCAGTATAATGGCACTTGCGAGAAGAGTTACTATGGCAAATTGAAGCAGCTTTCTGAGTGGAAAGACAGGAACTCACGGAAGGCGCCTGTGCGAGTCTTAACTTTGACGTCGTCCGAAGTCTACATGTTCGTTTTCGGATGGTCAGGAAAGGGTAGCTGGATCGGGACAAATTGAATTGACCTTGCCGAAGGCATCAACGCCTTTAAGACCAGCGAAAAGTCCCTTTGCCATTTTGACCGGGCGGAGTGTCGTCCGCAGTTATAAGAAGTAGAGCAAGAAGAGAGAGAGAAGGAAACCAGACGGTCGAATAGCGAAGCAAGGAGTGATAGAATATTCACGACCGCGTGATCACTCATCACGTAGCAACTACGTGTCACTTTCCCTATCCGAAGATTTGCCTGGGCGTGATGCGGGAGATGGATACAGACGATTATGGGATAGCTATGCGGTCTACTCCTTGTTTTACTTTCCCTATCAAGTTCATCACGCCGTCGCGGAGGCCCTCAGTCTGGACACCGACACCCTCTCCACTGGAGCGATACACTCCGGTTGTAGATCCACCTAGGCTGACATTCACACCACCAAGATTGAGATTCAAGGCCGGTGCATTGGAGGCGGACTCGGGAGGTGGGTCGTAAACGGAGGACGAGAAGGTTGTGGCCGCTGCACGGAGCATTTCCACATATGACGACGAGTTGTGCACGCAAGTGCCCCCAAGCAGAAGCCTCGTCCCAGAGCCCGCAGGAATTGCCCCGTTGGATGCAGCAACGGGATCCTGGTTGTACAAAGACACAACCCGAGCTTCCTCATAGGTGGTTCCCCCGATCATGAATATAATGACGTCTTGAGGCCTGCAAGGTTTAAGCACCTGATAGCCTAGGACATGCCGCACAGCACGGACCGTTGCAACCAGGCATTAGGCCCCGGGTTCTCGACAAATGGATAGCTCACATCTCGCAGACGGCCTTTGAATAGGTTCTCAAGCGTTTCCGAAAGGTGAGGCCTGTGTTGGGTGTACACATTCTCCACCCCCTGTAGTCCGTTAGCATCAAACCAGTCAAGAACAGAAACGGCGTACTTTCAGGCCTTTCAACGCGGATCGACCCTTGGCAAAGAGCGATTCATTCGAGAACAGATCATCCTGCCGCTGGTCAGCCCCTGCAACGTTGAGAAGCACATATACGAGCTGCGTACGATGTTAGCAGATTTAAAGCAATACTCAGGTCAGACGAACTCGGGCATCCTCTCTCGAGACCCCATTCGACAAGAGCAGATTGATCAGGGAAGCGATATTGCCCGCCTGGGTTTTCTGATAGCGCAGAGCGTACAGCATGACGAGTCGCAGTTTGTTCCATGGATTGATGACCGGGTTCCCGATTAAGGCTTGCACGCTCTGCGAGAAAGAGTCGGCTACCCGAAATCATGCTGCGAGGAGACCAGTTACTCACGCGCAGATCGGATCCGGCGCTTGTTGCGAGGCCCTGCTCAATCTCTCCCACTTCGAGTAGCTTGTCCCGCTCCACTAGTCGGCTCAGTTCGCCGACTAGGGCTACATGCTTGCTGACATTGCCACCGAGCTTGCGAAACTCGGGATATTCTTCGACGAATCGTTTCATGTCTCCGATAGAGTTGATGGATGACGGAGCTTGGGCAAGTGATCGTGTCTGGTACGATTGCACATAGTCTTTCAGCGATGTCCCCAGGTCTCCAAAGGTGTCCAGAAAATGACTCTGGAAGAACGGATCCGTGGACGTCGTCAATGTGATCTCCTGTCATACGCCTCAGCGGAAGCACGGATACTGATAGAGAACGACATACGGAAAGCTCTGGCCTGATGCCAGGTACCATACTGAGATCGACACGTCCGTTCTGTATGTTCAACAGTTCATGGACCATGGCTTGATAAGTCCATTGAGATAACAAAGGAGTCACTGGATCATTCCGGCGGTCAAGAATGAGCAATAGTGGCGCAACTTGAGTCAGTCGAAAGTCGAACAAAGCTGACTCAGACTGAATGCGATGCTGCAGAACATCAGGATTGATATGTGTGTCATTTTGCGGAGAACGTACATGCATTTCGACCGCCAGTTTTTTCGCCATTCCACTCATCTTCTCATATCTGATCTGTGGCTTCTTCTTCAGGCTCAGCAAAACGGCTGTCAGGCCTTGAACCGAACGCTCTAATGCTGCTGAATCCCACGCGTTGGGCGTGGAACCATACAGAGGCTTTTGCACCGTCGGCATATGATTCAACGAGAAGAGTGCTGGTAGCAGTGGAGAGTAGTCTGCAAAATATTCCTGGATGATGTTGATAGCGCGTCCTACTCGGTGCTTTTGAAACGACGCACCTGGACCTCTCGCACAACTTCATATTCATCAACCTCCGCGAGCCGCTCAATAACCGCTTTGCTCAGGACATTGCTGAAGTCTATCATCACGTCAGTGGCGGATTCAGTTACGCGTCGAACAGGTGCGATTCACCCACTGACAGAGATAATACTCTCCGTACTTTGGTTCGCGGAGTTCTACTTGAAGAGCCTCCAGACTCTCCTCGCTGCTCTGGAGGAAACAGATGCATTTCATATGCGGCATACGGTCTCGTTTCTGGTTGTCGATGCGATCTGTGAGGTAGACCTGATGAGACAAGAGGGTGGATTGCGTGGACGCCAGCGAGACGATGGGAGTCTGAACGGAGCGTGGGTCTCGATAACATTAGAAACAGAGGAGATACGTACGGTGTGTGCATCTAGGAGAAGAACTTTCATGGATGACGGCGTCGAAACAAGTTTCGAGACATAAGTCTCAACAGCTTTGATGACGTCCATGACCGCAGAGGTCGCAGTGAATCCCGCCTCGGTGAAATGGGTATCTTATGTGAGGTGCGGGGCCCGGATTCAGAAGATCATGGACCGACTGCAGACTGCAGTGCAAGCGCAGTTAGGAATCAAGGGAGGCACGCGTCAAAATCACAGCCACCCATCAATCATCTCTCGATTCTTCTGCTGAAAATTTGTGCTCGCTCCGTTGTGCTTGGACTTGGACGTGAGGCTTGATTTCGACCGGAGCCCTAAAACTCGACCCAAATTTATTGCGCTCAACTCCTGCGACTATGAAGCTTCCTCGCAAAGTGCCTTGGACAACGATCGCTGAATTAGATGAACTGTGCTCATGGATATACACCGACGAGAATGATTACGACCTCAGAATCCGCGCTATCAATCGTGCAAGTCTATATACCACACCCCTCCGCTGTAATTTATCCCGCCCCAGCTGTCTGCTTGGAAAATGATAACGCCTCTACCACACGCGTTGGAGTCAACGCTGTCCCTCCTCGCTGTCGAAGCGCAAGACAACGAAAACGCGCGCCCAAAAAACTACCTCTCTCTGCGGCACAGCTACTCCGCAGCCCTGATCCGACTCGTGAATGGATTCGTCGACCCACTGCAACTGGGTGCCTACGCGCGATCCATAGCTTCCATTGCGGCACAGCTAGGCCTTCCGGCGTGGCTTGTCGAACTGCGACATGCCGCGACACACGAGGACCTTCCCAGTCTCGAGCTTCTCCGCCAAGGGTCCCGCGAAGTGAGTCTCATTCCCTGGATCCCCACGACCGAATTGTGACCTGCGCGTTTGTCAGTCCATGTCTTGGCTCCTGCACAACTACTTCATTCCAACCCTCAATCCAACAACCGCACCGGTCGTCCAAGCTACGCCCCTGCGACCCCTCGGTCCTGTCCTGAAGCAATTCAAGGCTCTGCAGAAAACCATCATACGAGACAAGTCCCTCAAAAATCAATATCACCAAGAGGTGCGGGTAATCTTGAAAGATATCGAGCGCTGGATAGCCGAGGCGATGGTCACCGCGAACATTGCGATCGGGGAGCTGGGCTGGGGCAATCTGGAGAAGACGGATCAGGACATGAAGGAGAAATGGGCCCTCGAACGCTTATCCGATGCTCTCATGGAGAAGGGCGGACTTGTCCCTCTATCCAAAAAGTGATTCATTGCTTATCTCTTGCCTTTTTTTCTTTGGCTGACCTGCTTGCGGCCCAGAAAACGAGAGCTGCCCACTGATGCTTTCTTACCCCCGACATCTGCGACAGAGATCTGGTCGCCCCTTCTCCAGGAGATCCGGAAACTCCATCCCATCTTCTTCGCGGTTCTCTCCGACCGTATCATTGTTCATCTGCTTACGGATGCTCCCCGGGAAGCCAGCTTCGACGCGTCTATCGCCCGTTGGGCGATGTGGCTAGTGGACTCTGACGATGCTGATTTGAGGAAAGACCTCGCCATCACGCTAATCGTGGGCATCGGTCCCGATCGAGCGCACAACTGTGTCTCGTGAGTCCTTGCTGTGGTGCTAAGCCGCGCATCCTCATCATTTTATAGTGCATCGGCTTTGCTGCAGGCCTTGTGCGGTGATAACACTGACATGGAAGCTGCACTGTCGCTCCTGCGCCCAGTACCGGGCGTGGTTTCCAGTTCTGTTTGGACGCCGGAGGATATCAATGTGATGCACGAACGGCTTGTTTCGCTTCTGGCAGCGTCCGAGGACGATCAGTCCCCAGACACTCCTTTCTTGTCGGAGGCAGAGGGTTTCGTCGCAGCTGAGCAGCTGCCTGCGGGCTGGCGCCTTCTGGATAGTAAATGGACAGTTTGCCCCATTGGAATATACCATTCCGTCTGATTGTGACACTGTTACGCGAACGCGCCAAGGTTTCATTCCCCCTCACGTGCGAGAGCCACAGCTTTCTTGGACGGAAGTGTGTCGATGTCGCGGTCAGATCTCCGTGAACAGCTGGAGACGCTCAAGCTTCTCTTGGAGGCGCAACATGCGGAATGCGTTTCGGAGTGTCACGAGCTCGAAATGAATGGAGCAGATGACAGGGAAAATCTCGAACTTGAGGCCGAAGTGAAGGGGAAATTACTGGCAGTTATCGACATGTGCCGAGAATGTGGTGCGCGTGGATCGAGCGTCGGAGCGCCAACTGACTCCCATCGGGCTGGTCAATTAGGCGAGGCTCGATCGGAACTGCATCTTGCTTCAGCACGCGTGAAAAGCCTTCATTATCAACACATGAACAACATGCAAGCCTTTTGTCAAGGTGAGCTCCCCCGAATTGCTCGCGACGACTGGCAGGTGATTAAATTGCGTGTCGGTAGAACAATTCGCTGCGCAAGCCATGCAAAATGCACAGCTAATCCAAGCCGTCAAAAACTCCCGTTCCAAGAAAGTCACGTGAGGGAAGGTGTGGTCGAAGTCGAAGTGGACTGAGCACCTACTCGATTTGAAATCCAGGAATACATTCTTCCACTAGGCACGGCGCCCCGCTCGCGGAGTTAGTGGGCCTTGATATATGAATTGTGCGAATCGGGACAGAGTTCGGCACAATCAAGCTTGAGTTACAGCTGGAACATTTGTTGCGCTGTCTCGCATTGCGATCGAGGCTACTGCACTACTACTGCATAGACGCACGATGTAACCTGCCGCTGTATGATGAATGCTGCGCACTAGCTGATGGTGGGCCGCGCAGGCTATCTCCGCTTGTCTCCGAGCTGGCTTGGGGCTGGAGTACCGCATATCATGGGCATCAAAAGACCGACATTCAAGCAGCCGATGGGATACTTTCTCCGACGACCCAAGACCAAGAACATCTCTGTCGTCTTCTGCAGTACATCGACTGTCAAAACACGGGCGCCTTCGAACATTTCGAAGTTTCCCCACAACTGCACCGCTTTCGGTTTTAGCTCGGTTTATGCCCACGAAGCCTCGATCGCCCGGGATCATATCTCATCGTGCGAGGCTGATAAGCTCGGGGAATCAAGTATCGATGCCCAGATTAGACTACGAAGCTCTCAGCTGCCCACTGGTCCCCGCGAATAGACGCGGGCGCGGGTTAGTTTCGTGTCCGCCCGCCACTGTGACTCAGCGGCGAAATGTCGGACGGACGCTGATGGACCTTGCAGCGCTCGGAGGCGGATCCCATTCTTAGTTTCTCGCCGTGCATCCGGTGATAGGCTGTGAACGCAGAGCCAGTGGCGCGCACTTGAATGGGGCTGCGATCCCAGTCAACCGAGCCGACACGCAGATGCCTCGAGGCTGACCCTGGGCCGAGCCAATGCGGACAGCGCACATCCTTTCTGCAGTGAGGCACACTTAAATGGCAGACCTTGCGATAACGCCTCAGTGCAGCAGCTCAACGGAAACAGAAAAAAACGTGCACGTGGAGCCGGCTGTTCCCAACAACATACACACAGAATGTGACTCCTCCTGTTTGAGCCGATGACTCCAGATACCGAATCCCGTTCACAAAGGACGCACGCTCGTGCTCAGACCGGCGGGCCGCTCCCGGATACCCGGAGATACGAGGTCAGCTCCCGAAAAGGAAAACCACGTGGAAACACATGGTCGCTCCCGGGATATCCCGACCCCGCACGCGGGTGTCACGGAACGAGCCCTTTCCCCGGCTCCCCGTGGGCCTCATCAGACCCATCAGCGACATTTTGCCGCTAACGAGTCGGGGCGGATCGGAGCTCATAGCACCGCCACCGTCACAACATCCGGCGCTCCTTTTTGGTGCTTTCGCCCCTTGTTTCAAGGGCGCGCCGAGTCAATTTGCCCTTAGATTAAGAAAGCATGTGGTCGCGCGCCTGAGCAGGAGGTGCATGCAGTGCAAAGCGGCTCATCCTCGACCGGCGGGCCCCGTCGTTTATCCGCATGCTCAGCTCGTGCTCAGCAGTTGCTACGCGCGTTGTGCATCCGGTCCGGTCGCTGCTCCTATGACGTCGCATGCAAGCATATGATCCACTGCTGTATCCCACTCGATTCAGCTCGCGCGTCATGGCTGGGCGCAAGGAGATGAAAGACTAAATGGCACGACGGGCCCCATAGACGAAACCACGGTTACAAGCAAGTTACAAGGCTATGATATGACATTGGATACAAGTGTGTGTTATGTACAATTTTGTTCTCCTGAAAAACTAGTTCATCGTACGTACAATAGTCCCCCAAAAACCGTCGAGTAAAGTACCAAACAAGTAAGAATAAAGTACCTAGTCGTACATACATGGATTGAAGTCTGTGTCAATGCACAGAACGGACCGAACCCGAAACCCGGAAAATATGGATGCGAATGCGGATGGATGCTGATGTGTTTGTGGCGGAAAGAATGCGGGTAATGGTGTGAAGATGCAATGCGGAATGCAACGGACTAGACGCGCTGGGTATGGGTCGTGACGCTCGGGGATAGAGTAGCTCGTGTCGGTTCGTGGTCACAGCCGACGCATCAAGGGTTCACCGGGATTTCCGCAAACGTGAACAGCTTTTTCAGCGGGCGAGGAACCTCCACCTCGACTTGAACCCCGTTGACGATCCGCACCTCCTTGACAGGAGGCATGGGCATCACTGGGTAAGTGCGCTGGTTGTCATATGACCAGGAGCGTGCTGCAGTAACGTTAGCATGTTAAACACCAAAGCGATAGAGGGGGCGCACTCTCGATCTGAGGTCGTCTCGGGAGCTTCCACGCGTCCTCGTCACCTTCTAGCTCTTCATCATCGCTGGACGAGCCTGTCACGGAAGATGAGGGCAGAGATAGCGGACTCCGCATGCGATAGCCGGCAAAGCTTCCTGATGAATGGCGACGAGTCGACCGGCCGGTAGAGGGCTCCAACAATGAGGAAAGGGAGGAAGATGTCGATGAACGCCCAGGTGCTTTCATAAGCACATCGGGTACGAGCAGCATGCCCCCGGCAGACAAATTAGACAAAGGCCGCGTCTTAGTCGGCAGAGACGAGGAGATGGGGAAAGGCGATGAGCCGGAGGATGACGTCGAGAATACAGACATGCGTGATGATGAGCGACGCGTGAAGGAGTCCTCGAAGGAGGACAAGAGGGCAGAGTTACTAGAGGATGAGGATGAGGATGAAGAGGATGAGGCATTCGAAGGGGCTGTTGACCAGGTGGGCGAGCTGGGCTCCATATCATACATGCGCGGGTCTTCCGCAACGACACCGCCGCTGTTGCGGTGAGGTGTGGCGATGATAGTGCCATAGGCCTTGCTCCTAGGATCCAACACATCCGCTCTCGTCTTCGGCGGCGGGGCAAAGTTGTAGGTGCTCTGGCGCCACGCTTGGCTGCCGTCGTTCCAGCCGGGGATGACCTCCATCGGCTTAACAGGCTCGCCGGCTTTGCGCGCCTTGGGGAAGACGGACTCCATGCGGCGAGCAGCCATCATGACACCTTGCTGAAACTCGGTGTTGGTATTCTTCGGAGCTTGAGAGCGAGGTGGGAGGATATCCATCGAATCCCATGTCCGAGGTGGCAGGTCGGGGATGTTGAGCTCCCGCTGAAGGATTGCCAGAGAGCGCGACTCGGGGGTGCTCGGGCGAGATTCCCGACTGGGGGGCGAGGCATGTGCTGAAGGGCCATTGGAGGAGACACTGTGCGATGAGCTGCTTGAGGCACTGCCGCGACACGCGGACGAGCTGTGGAAGTACTGCATGTCTTGCTGACGGCAAGCCTCAGAGCAAAATAGTGGGGCAGGCGATTGATCAATTTCGACACGGGTTTTCACGGTCTCTTGGGGCGGATGCTTTAAAGAACCGTTGGGACGAACGCGCCCCGTTCCGTGGACAAGACCATTGCGGCGGCCCTTGTGGCGCGCTGGGGGAGGAAGGAATCGAGAATGAGCAAAGAAAAGAAAAGAAAAGACGCAAGATAGCGCACCTTGATCTGGATGTTGAGGTGAAGACGGAGGGGGAGGAAGAGGATTGACGGGGACGAGAGCGCGGCGGGGCTCGATCATCTTGCTGCAGACGGCGCAGAAGTTGGCGTCGTGCTGGTCCATAGTGGCAGCGACGAGGTGTGGAGAGGGCGAATATTCAGGTGAATGGTTAATCCGGCGACCTGCTTTTGTAACTCACCCTCCCAGATCCCTTCCCGATTCATCGAGCATCTCGTTTGGGCAGATGATCGAAAAGATCTGAGCACCTGTGGTCCGGCCAACCGAGGGGCCGCGGTGTCACGTCACACCCGGACCGCCGTTGTATTTTCCTGTTTGGACCAATCAACAAAAGGGAATGCCGGGATTCCCGATACGGTTTTTGCGACGCAACGGCTCGCAGCTGCCGTCTCATGACCGTGGCTCTTGGACTGTCCTTGTCAAAGCATTCGGAGAATCAGTGCCTCCGCCTGCGCCCGCCTCGCTGGCACTGCACCATGCACCGGGTTACTCTTGATACTATCTTTCATTCGACGCTCATTCTCGCTCTGGATCCGTCGACGCGCGTCTGATATCTCATTTCCTCTATCTCGGTAAAGACGGAGAGAGCTGTTTTGAAACACCAGATCAAAGAATTTCTCGCGAGACATAGCGCATCACGCACGCACGCTTTGGCTCTAGACCCACAAGGCAGGTCGTACTCGGACTGGTGGCCATCAGCAGCCGTCGTTGGGTTGACACGTCCCGCAGTCGCCAATATCTCGGAGGAGGGAGGAAGGCCCGCTCTGGTAACGGCAAACACGCTAAGGCTTCCAGGTCTTCCTCGGTAAAACGCTCTGCGTTCTCAGCCTAGCCACGTTCGACCCTCTCGCTCAATTCAGTACTTAGTGTGCAGACACTTGTCGCGCGCGCAGATTTTCTCGGATGATGACTAGCTTGCTTGCCCCTGCTTGCCCGAGATGTCCAGTTCGCCGAACCCTCGCTACATGAAAATTCCCCACAGAAGGCCACGCGAGAGAGAGATAAGTTGTGTGTGTCATCTCTGGCGTAAAAAAACACATTTTGATCGGCTACGAGCCGTGAGGTTCTGCGGGCTTGTTATTACATATAGTCTCTCCCGGAACGACTGGGAGAGTTAAAAAACGCTTTGGGACCGGGGTTCTAAGCATATCGACCACCTGACATCCGCACAGAATCGACACGTAAATAATCAGGGCTAGAAAACACAGAACGCGCCAAGGACCATGCCGGTGCAGGCAGGTCCTCGGAAAAGCTGGGGACGCGCTGGGGTCAGGGCCGATTCGAAAGCGCTTGCGGAAATTGGAATCCGGGGAGGAACGGCGGTCTCATGAGCGGCGGGCATGATGCGATTGCGTGTTTTCCGTCCGAAGACACCAGTTGAAACCCCGCGGAAGCGGCACTCCGGCACATCGAGGGTGGCTGGCACCCACAAGGGACGCTGGCTGGACCAACAAACATGCTGGACGACGTCACGAATGGCATCCGAAAGTATCTTCAGACTGTCGAGACCCGGGGTGCGAGGGAACATCTGCAGGCCCGCGAACTGCATGTCCTTGGTTGCCACCGCCACCTCGAGCACCTGCAACGCAAATCCCTGCCCGAACATTGCCACCCCAACCTGGCAATTTACCTAAATCCACTCGATAAGCTCAGTTCTGGTGTAGTACACGAATGTTATCTGTTGTAAGCAGAACCTGCAGCAGGCCAATCACTACGACGGGGAACTTGGCGCTGCCGACCCTTCGGAATGTGACCACCTCTGACCACCCCCATCACCGTCGCATTGCGACCGGTGGCGACCAGGGACAAGCAAGCGAGTTCGCCGCCAGTCGCCGCATCGTCCACCTAATGTGTTTTCCCGACAAGCGCTGTTGGATATTTCCGGCAAGCGATGTCACCCCGCAGCAGATGCCGTGAACATTTGGCCCTGCACTGCGCCAAAATATGCCCCCCGGGCCGGGTGGATAATTCGGGCGACACGCTCGCTGTTCTTGGGGAAAAAGACACAATCATTCGAGCCAGCGCTAGGTTCCGTCGCGGATGTCATGCACCATTGTGGGGTTCGGCACCGAGATTAATTGAATTGCGACGGTTGCTCGTCATGCTCAACTTCAACCCCACAGGGTCATCAGCAATAATAATGTGTGGCTAGGCGACGAGCGTCGATGCCAGAAATCCACCATCGAGCAAGCATAGCTGGGACGGTCAAAAATGATGTCGTCATGGACTGGAGAACAATCGAAGGGCCCGATTTGTCTCAGCTGCAGCCAGTCCCCACTTAGAAGAGAACAATGCGCTCGAGAGCAGACATGGCATTGGATATGGCTTGCAGGTTCAAAGGATCTACAGGTGACAGGCAGGCAGGTCTTGTCCCCATTATTGTTCTCGTTTCGAGCTAGTGTTTGTCCTCGATGATGGTGCTTCCGGAAATGCACACAGAATCAACGCCCCATGACGATCAAGACAAAGACGCATTGTCAAGGGCTCGATGCTTGGTGCTTCAAAAATGAACAACAACTGATCGTCCAGGCCGATCGGCCGGCTCTGTGACGCTGACGCTGGATTCAGGCTCGCCTCGATCGGGCCCTGCTGGGACCCGACGACGACGCGTTGATCCCCCGCATTCTGCGTAGCTCTGATCTGGCTTCACGAGCTTAATCAGCATCTCATCCGAGGTGAGCTCACCTGTTCTCCGTCTCCGGTGCTTCACCCCGACTGCCCAACTCGGGGCGCCGTCCTCTCCTCTCAGATGGGCGTTGACAGTTCTAACGCCTATGGGCTAATGTCGGACAACTCTCTGTGACCGCGGAAATACTGCCCATCAGCCATCCCGGGTAGATAACATGCGATGCAGCGCGTGGAGGCACGGCCCAAACCAAACCCTCTGCCCGTGATCATCTCCAATCAAGCCCGGCGCGGGGGGATCATCAGTCTGTCGGCCATCTTGGCAACCCATGCCAATCCGAACAGGTCAGGTCGTTTTGCGTTTGGGATTGACTCGCGAGTAGGCATCAGCCTCCCGCACACGGCGGTAATGCTCTGCAAAGGCAGTCCTCGTTCCTTGACCTGCCCTGCCCGGCCCATCCCAGTCTGAGTGACAGTTACAGGCAGATACGATGTCGGATGCAGCCTATCGCAGTCCGGTAGCGGAAGTGATGGGCTGCATGGGAAGCCGCGGTGGTCACTTCCACGGAACGCCATCTTCGGCAACTTGCGGGAGGTTGCATGGGGGAAGACCGTGGATGCTTATGGATGAACGGCGGTCCGCAGAGGCCCGCCAACCGCGGACACCGTGACAAAGCGATCAGTCTTGCGTCGCTCAACACATATCTCCCTAGTCTGAATCAATCTCACGTTCAATCGGCGTACAACCGGTGTCATGACTGGACAGAGAGCGTCTGACCGCGCAAAGCCGAGGCCCCGATACGACACGATACGATACGACACACAGCAGCCAGTCAGCTCAATCAGGGGAAACAGTTGTCGTGGGCGACGGTGGCGGGCCTCAGTTGCACATGGTAAACTGGAGAGATAGCGGAAAATCCCGATGCTGATGCGATCAGGGTACAGCACTGATGCGGGTTCGGTTATCGATCGCTTTCCGTGCTCCGCCTCCTGGAATCATCTGCGAACTTTCGTTTGCATACGGGAACCCATACGACGTTTCAGCGTCTGCTTTGTCGTATGGGTTACTTGCTGATCTCCTATCGAATCGATGGTCGATGGTCGGACATCCTCCGGATCCGTGTCTCCGTGTCACACCGGCCAGCGTAACATCTCGAGCCCCCGCCTTTACACCGGCACTGTCCTTGTTTCCTGATGGAAGCGGTGCTTTGAATCTCTGTGGATCTCTCGCGATTGCGCAAACTGCCTGCCACGGCGGATCGAGATGATGATATCAGCCTTGGCTCCTACATGGCGGACTGGATGCAGAGCACAAAGTGCTCTGTATGACAATGGTATCGTCGTCATCATTAAATCCGTCTGCCCTTTGAAGGGGCCTTGTCATCCATCAGTGCCTTTGTCCAGCAGATGAACGTGGATGGGCGGCTCGCTAAAAACAGGCCTGGCAAACGGTATGTTCCGTGGCTGCATCGATTCTTGCATCTTCTTCCGTCGACTAAGCTCAGTCCGATCAACACAGACGCCCCTTCGATGCGCGCAAAATATCTTTGTTCTTTGTCAGTGGGGGACCTGGGCTTTGACTGGCTGCGCGTCCGATATCAGTGGGTGGATGTATTTTTGTCGCGATTGAGCGGCAGGGGTGATACTACCCCGCATCGGCCGGTCCACGCATGTTTCGGCGTGGATTGATATGCAAGCATGCGACTCGTTGCCTGTGACTACCCCGCATTTATAAATGGACTGGCTACCCCACACTCAGACACCTAACAAACACGCTGGCGTGATGAATTGTCCCGAGTACAAGGCCCGCGTCAGTCTCCGCGCTGTTCGACTGCTGCAATACAAATCCTCCAGACCGTATGTAATTCAGCGGCGCTGATGCCTGTCACGGGGCCCGGTGCAAGCTCACCGCTGGACCACCAGGTACCTACTGACGGACGGTTACATACATGTCACAGAGTTGTGTTGTATAAGCAACATGCCTTGACCGCGGAATGGCTGCGATGTATTATATTCCGATGAATGTCGCACAAATATCTCAGCCCCATCCGTCTGAAATCCATCTGGGTACCACACATTTGGGGATGCACTCGGCGGCCCGGGCTAGCCGCCCCCCACGCAATACTTTCATGCTCAATAAACACCGCGGCCCGCGGCAAGTCCCTGATCCCATGCCTGAAAAATCAGGGGATAAATTAGGTTAACCAGCCGCGCCTAAGCGCCAGGAGATGACACGTGATTCCATGGCCGCCGGAGAAATGCCACTGGCAGCACCTCGAGCTGGGACGACACAAGGAGACGTGTGCACCGAGCGAGGCAATTGCGCTCCCGTCGAGTGCAATCCAAGAGGACTGGGGCGCGAAGGTAGTTTGACGTCTGGGGATTAAGAACCCCGCGTCGGGCAGAGCTTCCACTTCTTTAAGGAACAGAGGGGATCGGCAGGCCAGTCCGCGGGGTCACCAGCACACACACTGTCACTGGCACCAGATTCGTGGCTTGATCCCTCCCTCGTTGGCACTAGAACTGGTCGCTGCCGGCGCGTAGTCGGAACTCCCCAGGAAATCGAGCGTTTCAGCCCCGGACCGGGGCATAATCAACCGAAGTTTCGACGATGAGTGCCAAATTGTCGGCAAACGACTGGAAGCGCCCGCAGGGACCATAGAATTATCATTATTCGATGTGCATATCAGACAGAACTCCTGAAGAAACTGGCGCAGAAGATCCAGCCAGCAGTCATCTGACGGCCACTGAGCACAACCCCAGTAGAAGCGGACCCGGAAGCGTGAGCGTGGGTACGGGTGGACTCGCACGGGAGTGCGTGATTGTCGTGGTGGTAAGTACTAAGTATGCAAGTAGGCGGTAAGTATGTTTCTCATCAGACGCGCATTTCGCCGCGCATCAGCATCTTCCATCGTCATCCCCTCGTCCAATAACATCCCACCCGCAAAAATGGCATCCCTCCCTCGCGACGTCCAGGAATTTCTCGACGGGTATCCCCACGGCACCGATGACACGCGCCAGTCCGACAACCTGGGATTCTACTCCAACACGCTTCGCTCCCGGCCGGACGGCCTCTTGGTTGAGGAGATCCATGAGCAGTGCGCCCGCAGCCCCCTCGCCCGCTTTCTCACAACCCATGATGGCATTTTCTCATGAAGATGGCAAGGCGATTACACCAAGCTCGAGCGCAAACACGGCTTTATCCAATGGCTGTTCCCCATCCGCGAGCACGGAATGAACTACGAGTCCCAACCGCTGCAACCGCACGAGCTGGCCGCGCTCACGTCTGACCCACGTGCGCTGGAGCGCCTCCTGGCTTCATACAGACTCATGCTCGAGTTCTACGGTATGCGTCTAGTGTCCGCGGAGACTGGGGCCATAGACCGCGTCCTGCCGCCACGCAACTACCAGCCGCGGTACGAGAACCTCGTCCGTGAGTCCAGCTCAGTCCGTATGAGTCCTTCCGACTCCGTGTGCTCATGCCATGCCGCCGGATGCACCAGGATCATCTCACAACTATCTCCGCATTTCTCGGATCCTCAAATGCCTCTCTGAATTCGGTTTCGAGCGCCTGAACACCCCGTTCCTTCTGCACGTCCTGAACGAACAGAGCGAGCACAAGGAGCTAGACACTTCTGGGCTGTGTTCCAGCATGGATCGCTGGTGGGCTAATTGCATCCGCAATGAAGAGGAGAGGGAGTGGCTTGGAGGCATCATCGCCAAGGTGCGGCGCAGAGATGGATATGTTTTCACGCGGGAGATGTACGATGCGGCCCTGGCGCAGAAGGCCAAGACGGGCAGCTTTCGTAACGAGCAGATGAAGGTAGAGCTGCAATAGATGGACGGCTGGTGACAGACTCGTCGTGTTTTGTGTCATCGCGAGCATGTTATGGATAGATAGCGATACCGTGCGATGCCGCGGACCTGTTGTGCATGCATATTGGCTTGAGTGCGATGCCGAGCCCGTTGTCGACCGAGCGATGACTCACACACACGGAGCGGGCGCGTGCCTTGCATTAATCTGATATCCTCCTCTCCAACGCAGCTATTAAGGCATCCTGCCTCTTTTGTGCATACAATGTGCTGATGGAGCTTAGCAGCTGCTCGATACTTTCGAAGGTCTCGGGCTCGGGCTCGGGCTGCTTCGGGGAAGATGCAATCTTGTGACCGGAAACGACCTAGGCGATGAGAAGATGAAAGGCGATCGGACTTGGAACTGCAAACAGGACGGACTGAGTAGCCGCTATTTCCGGTCAGTTCGACCTCGATCGTGACACCGTCTAATAGCGTTACGGAAGCTGAAGCAGACAGCGACGACCGTCGCAGTATTCGAAATGAAGCGATCAAGAAGAGGGAGTGTTGCTCGGTGAGGGCACTGAGCAACTCGTCACCACAGAAGCGTTCCATAGATGTCGGGGGTCATTCGTAAGAGGATACGTGGCTGTGCCCCGACCCCACAGATTACGCGTAGTGATAGCGTAATTATCCTACTTCTTGCTTGACCCGGGCCATCGCCTCGAGATCGTCATAGTACCCAGTCTGGAGACACATTTCCCTGAAGATCTCGTTCTCCTGCATGAGTTCCAGGACCCCACCGATAGCAACGACCTCTCCTCGATCGAGAATAACGATTTTGTCGTAATCCGCAATTGTTTTCAGCCGATGAGCAACTGGTAAAAGGGTCAGCGACAAAAGGAATGGATAGTCTCGATTATGCTCACTTGTGATCAAAAGTGCGCTGCCAAACTCTTCACGGATGCAAGTTTGAATCTTCGTGTCAGTCTACATCCGGGCTTTCAGCAGTGCGTGGGACGGATCTTTCGAAGACAGCACACCTCAAAGTCAACGCTGCTGGTAGCCTCATCTAGGATGACAATAGAACTACGCCGAAGAAGCGCACGGGCAAGAGCAACGAGTTGACGTTGTCCCTGCGAAAAGTTGGCGCCTGCAGTAGCGACTTCGGTGTCGAGCTTGACGTTCTCTGGACCCAACTGAACCCGACGCAAAACATCAATTAGAGCTAGATCATCCTAAATGAGCTGTCAGGCGTCGAATTGAATGTGCAAATCAATCATAGTCACATGTTCACCAAATGGATCCAGGTTTTCCCTGATGGTCCCCGAGAACAGGGCCGCATCCTGTGGAATGAATGTTATACGGGAGCGGAGATCTGCCGGGCCATGATTTGCGATGCATACAGCCAAAAACTGAAACACGAACCATAAGTTCCAATTTGGGAGATGTCCCATCCGTCGACCAAGATCCTTCCCGCGCAAGGATCAACAAATCGCAAGATCGCCGTCGCAAGAGTCGACTTCCCACTCCCTGGGCAGGCAGATGGTTGGATGCGACTTGTTAGTCGGGGCAGGGACTCACCCGTTCTGCCAACGAGTCCGACGCGCTCTCCACCTCGCAAGACAAACGAAACGTCGCGCAGAACTGGGGGCAGATCTGGAGCATATCTGACCGCTACATTTTCGAGCCGCACTAGATCAGAGCTCGATGACGAAGGCCAGTACGCAGGGGGTCGCGCAGATTCTATCACAGCAGCCGGTTCCTGCGGAAGGTCGATGTACTCGGTCACGCGCTCGACAGAGCTGTTTGATGAATTCACACTTGGCGCGCCACAGGACCTTGTTGACAAGACTCACTTCAGATCAAGTTCCAGAGCGGTCCAGAAACTGATAGTGTTGTACACTCCTTTGCTGAAGGTCAAAGCGGACTAAGTCTTCGTCAGCTGGACACATGACGGGAAAGTGGAAATTGACGGGCCGTGATGGCTACACCAGCAAGACCAGGATCCCGATCCAGAAAGGCAATCGCGAAGCATGATGTGGCGAAAACAGCCTACAGTAGCCTCATTAAAATGCTCGTCCATCGTATCAGCACAGCATACCGCAGCGCCCAGAAGATCGAAATTGAAGAGCAACCAGCGATTGACAATCCTAGGACGTCTTTCAGCGGCAAGAGAGAGATCTCCAACCTTGTGACGAACCAGAACGCGTAGAAAAGCTGCAGGGAAGCATCTAAGCGCTCATAGAAGCCATCGAGCCACCGGTTCTCCACAGCAAACGCTGCGGAGCGCTGATCAGCCCGATGCGACACTGACGGCCCTGAAACTCACCTCTCACAGTCACAATCCCATCTATGAGAGTCGCGAAATCGGAGAATATGGGTGAGCGACTGTTGGACTCCATGCGCCGGAGATCTCGGCCCGAGCTGATGTATCCTACGGCGATGCGGACGTAAGAGTACCCGATTATGGCTGCGATGACCAGGAAAGCAGGGAAGATTCCTCTTTGAGATAGTTAGAGCCATCTGGGCACGAGACCCAAGGGGCACGCACATCACAGTGAGAACAGAAACGAGTAGACCCCCGACGGCAGAGTTGAGCGCGCCTACTTTCCTGCAGAGGATGTCACGCGAGTACATCTACATGCCCCAGGACGAGACTTTACCATGCGATTTCGTTGTCAACGATCTCCGCATCTCTCCCGAAGCGGTTCAGCAGTCGGCCTTGAGGCGTCGTGTCATGGAACCGGAGTGTCGCGTGCATGACAGAAAAAAGCATCCGTCTCGATCAATTCTCAGCGAGAACAGATTCCGTTGGCAAAAAGTTGGACTCACTCATACAACTTTCGGGCCGCATTCAAAGCACCGAAATGCTCCACCAGAGCCGAAACAATCCTCACCAGAACCCCGAAAATTTTGATTCCGGTGTACACGGCAACATAAAAGAGCGGTCGGTCGAGGGCGCTAGTCTCGTCAGCAAAAGAAAAAAGAAAAGAGTCGGTACGCCAATGATGAGCCACGCACATCCCGCTTTGGTAAGCTTCGCCCCAGAATTTGATCCAGACCCTCTCGCCCAAGCCGATCAGTTGTGAGGCGAATACCAAAACGAGGGACGTTGTCCAGAACAGGACACCAACGGTGTTGGCATATTCCTTGTATACAGAAAACTGGAGCCGGCCTGTGACCCGGCGCTCCTCCTCAACGAGTTTCCGGGCAATCTTGATCTCCGGCTTGTCTGCTTCCTTGTCTTCTTCCTTCTCATCGTCCGGTGCTATGCGTGATGTCCCTTCCTGCAGAGCGTCTTCGATTATATGCTCAAGAAGGCCTCGAGAACGTAGATCCTGGACGGTTCCCTGGCAGTCGATGCGGCCGTCCTTCATCTGCACCACATACTTAGCGCCTAGGGAGCAAGATGAGCCAACGAATCCGACTTTGGGGTGCACGCACAAGGCAAGACCAGTGGCACATGGTGAGTGACCAGAACAACAGTTCTGTTCGAAAGAAGTGGACCTCGAAGAAGACTGCGAACGTGTAAGCGTTCGTTTCAGCACAGTAACCGCAAGCACGGACTGGTCATAGAGAAAGCGTCCTGTGTGGCTGTCCTGCACGGCAGATCAGCACTCCTTCCTGCACAGTATACTGCCCAAAACGGCTTACAACAGCACTCAACGGATCGTCAAGCAAGACATATTTAGTTCTAGCGTAGACAGCTCGGGCGAGTGCGACCCTGTCAAGACATAATCAACTACATGAAAGAAGACAGAACATCTAACGACATACCTGGCTTTCTGGCCGCCTGAAAGAGACACGCCCTTTGCGCCGATTTCCGTCTCATCCCCGTCCTCGAGGACTTCCAGATCAGGAAGGAGCGCACAGGAGAACAGGACCCGGCGATATCGCTCCTCGTCCATTGGAGTCCCGAACAGGATATTATTCCGGATGGACGCATTTTCTAGCCAAGGGATCTGTGCGACATATGATATCGCATGTGCATTCCCGTGCCGGTCAAATCGGGCGGGGTCCTTGTTCAGAATGATGTGACCACCGGGGAGAAGAGTCATTTCCCCCAGCAAGGCCATCTGATTGAATCAGCCGTTAGTCTCATGAATCAGTGATATAGACCCAGGCAACTTACGAGGAGGGCCGTCTTCCCGCTGCACACCTTGCGATCAATTCAAGCGTAGCTGGAGTGCAGAAACACGTGCCTGGCAGTCGGTCCCGTGACGACACTCAATGCCCCCTCAGGAAACACGACCAATAGTCTGTCCAGTTCGAACGAATCAAGAACCTCCCTCGAGACACCGTTCCATCGGAAGGATGCTTCAAATAATCCGAGTTTTCCGCCGTGATCCACCACGTCAGGATCTTCGGCTTTGAGAATAGAGACCTGCGATGCGACTTCTGGTTCCTCCAGGAAGGTTGCGATGCGGTTGATGGCAATCCGAGCCTGAATGATCTCTACGAAATAGTATGGTGCGGCTGATCAAACGGTCACGTGTTTGTGCGTGTTCTCAAGAATCCGCTCGCACCGTTCAAGGGTGATCTGTGCGACATGTCAGTGGTGCACTAGTTAAAACAGAGTGAGATCACTTACTGAATCATGGTGAACAATTGCAGAGCCTGAAGCAACGTGTTCAGAGAGAAGCCAGCAGTCGGAGAAATTCCTCACGGTGAAGGCCTTGGCGATGGTCAATGTGTTACCCAGTGCGACGTAGGTCGTGAAAGAGATGATGGAGATCAGTGCAGGGGGGATGGACCAGACGCTAGTGCTCTTTGAGCCAGACTGTCGCCTCCACAGAAGCGCGTACACACCAATGATACAGCACATTGTTCATGCGACCTGAGTACGGCGAAAATCAATCAACAAGGAACGGCTCGTCGGCCAAAGAGGGGAAAAAACGCACCCCGTCGCCTCCAAACCATCTCCTCATTGCGGGCTTCCATGGCCCTCTTCAGCCACATCTCCTCCCAGGCGAAAAACTTGATGAACTTAATCTGTCGGATGGTAAGTGGGACTGATCGAACAACACCCGATCACGGTAATCCCAACGCTCTCACCGATGCGAGCAGCTCATTCACTTGTCCCATCCGCTTGTCTTTGGCCTCCACCAGTCCACGGTTGATCCAAGCGTGCCGGTTTGTCAGATAGCCGTTCAGCGGCATCCCAATGAACGATGCAAGGAATCCAGAGAATGCGCTCACTCCCTGCCACATATCATAAGCCATCATCGTTGAAACGCGCGTGCTTCAAACTCGCCAAGATTTGATAGAGCAGGCCGAACCCGAGGATGAACTCGAACGGAGCACCGTAGACGTTGTGCATCGAGCTGACTACGTTCGCCACGTTCTCGGCGTCTCCCGACATGAGATTCACGATCTTTCCCGTGTCGGCGCCGGCGCTGCCGTCCTTGACATTGACGGTGCCGCTGAGGTCCTGTCGCTTCAACGACTTTTCGTAGATCGCCGACATGAGTTCGGACCGGATCCGCATCGCTGCATGCTGGCCAAACCCTACAAAGAGTTCAATCTTGCACACACCCAGAATGAATAGCATCCTCTTACACAAGTGTTGCGCGTCAAATACTGCCTAGCAGATTGTCATGCCTGACCGATTATATTATATTGGATGACACTCACTTTGAGCAAGAAACTGAGGAACATCATCAGTGCATTTTGGTACGCCTCTGATTTGGACTGATCGGTATCGATCGAGTTCAACAAGCGGCTGGTGGGGCTGTTGTGAGACCCGGAGGAACGCGGAGGCAGCAGGAGTTACTTCATGAAGAACGGGCCGCCGTACGTCGATGCGACCGCAGCCAATGTTCCCAGCAGATCCATCCTGTAGTGTGATAAGAAATGGCCTCGGATTAGCCGACCATCGAGCTCACATGAGATCCAACGAGTTCGCCTGCCAGAGTCGGTATATGAGGGAAGCCTCGCTCGATAAAGTCTTGAACTTGCTGAACAGGACGCCGCTCTGCATAGTGGGACTGAGCTTCCAGACGTCTATTTCTTCCAGTCTTCCTTGTTTCCCCTGCCGGAGAGAGTTAAACGCCAAGTAGCAAAAAGCTAACTTTGTAGAGCTACCCGCTGGATCAGTGGGGAGACCCAATTCAGACTGCACGACGGGTGAGCAGTGGGGAAGGGTCATCGAGGCATCTACATACGTTATGCGGCTAAACAGAGATGCATAATCCTCCGGGGAAATGACCTGACCCTGGTCGAATCAGCTGGAACGTCGAGCAAAGCAAGATTGCCTCCAGACGCACAATCTTCTCGTCGGGAACCCGTCCAGAAGGCGTCGCCAGAGGCAGCGCTACGACAGCGCACATCCCAACGAACGCCATCCCCACCTCCCCGGCCAAGCTCAACGTCCCGACGCTCAGGATCCCACCGTGACTGAGCCGCAGTCGAGCGAAGGCGGAGAGCAATATCAGGGGGTAGACAGCCAGGAGATCGTAAGGCACCGTCGTGAGGACGCGGCGCCCGGCGCGCACACATGTGTACAACCAGCAGAATGCGCTGCCGAAATCGGCCAGGAGGATATCGTGCCAGATGAGATGAGGGGGAGCCCCAATGACCAGGCGATAGGTGCCGAGCATGGTCCACGCCAGGCATTGCACGAGGCCGACGAAAACGAGCAGGAAGGTCAGCACGTACGGCTTGGTCTTGAACGCGCGACGAGCGGGCGGGGCGAGAGCCTGCGACGCGCTCAACGGGTCCTTCAGTCCCTCTGCCTCCTCCAATCCGATGAAAGGTGTGAAAACGGTCTGGAACGCGCGCAGAAAGGGCACTGCTGGGAGGAATGGCGGCGATGGTAACGCAGACATGCCTCGGTAAGCCAGAATCATGAAGACGATCAAGCACGGTGCAGCTTCCGCTGCGTAAGTCCACGCTCCGATAGACATGGCGCTGTTTCGAGTAGGAAGTTGCAAAGGATAGTATTGCGAGTCATGATAAACGGTCCCGATAGTGTTAAATACGACGGACAAAGATGCGAACTGATGGCGTGGACGCAAGCGGTTTCCAATCAGAACTTGCTCCCACACCCGATCCGGACAACCGGAAAGTATCCCAAGTTGGTGTTTCATGGTCATTGAGTCTCATACAGATGGATTAAAATTATGTACTGCAATGTGCTCAAAAACAGAAGGAGGTGCCGATACTGATACCGAGATACTGACAGCAAGTGAGCACTGGTCAGGACGTTCTCAGGCAGGGGGGCGAGGATAATCACCGTGGCATGCGCGAGTGTGATGCCCTTTGATGGTATACTCGCAGAACAAAAGACGTCCTCACCACTCGCAGAGCACTGGACCGTGTTCAAGTGTGACGGCGGGTCGCGCTGCTGCCAGTATTCGATCCCGTGGTGATGATATCCGAGAGAAACCGGGATCATCGTCGGAACGCTATGAAGATTCGTGGAAGACAGGATAGGATAACTTTAGAGCATACCCGTCATCAGCATGGACCACTGAGTAGGTAAACTTGAGCCTGGAGCGCAGACCAGAAGAGCCAATCGATATTACCTCGAAATGCTCTGTGACCCAGCTGCGTGTTAACGTGGTGGGCAAAAGCCTCGTTCTAGTCGAGCGATTCAGCTTAGACTTGACGGCTGCGGAACGAGACAGACTCCGACACGAGGGGCACCGTAAGAGTAAGTGCGCGTTTGGTCCAACATCGGCGACGCCGGGAAGAGCTGGAGAAGCGAGACGGCGGCGAGAGTGGCCAGTGCACCGCCCATTGAGTGTCCAACAGTCACGAGCCGGTAGCCGGAGTGTACCATGCGCTGGGCAGTTAGAGTGGCGGTGATTTGCGTCGCGACCGAGTCCCATCTATACGCTCGTTCCGACAATGACCACAGGACACGCAAGGTAGGAAGCGTACGCAGCCAAGAATCCAGCATGAACGCGGGCTTTGGCTGTGGTAGCCTCATCAATAGCAGCCTGGGACCTTCAAAAGTAGACGCACAGGGCAGTTGGACACCAGGAGTCAAGAACGGCACCAGCAAGATATTCATGTCGAGCAATGCGTCCGTAACAGATGCACTGGCCCCACTGGGTCTCTGTACAGTAAACGTTCATCCGCCGACCCACCTTCCTCTCAATGCGACAACAAACTCCTTGCGCTCGTCATCGCGTGCGATGAACCCTTGGATGTCGGTAATAAAGTTGCCAAACTGACGACAGGGTCGGTCCATCACGGTATAGATGTTGACGGAAAGCATACTTCCAGAACGAGGTTCTGTCCATTTGGCCGGGGACACACCGGGATGTATGCCGAGCACGCGTACTTGAAATAATGGACGAGATCGTTGAAGATCGCTGCAGACGTGATCGTCGTAAACCAGAGCCAGTGATGCCGAACCCGGATGCTCGCCTTCTGATACCGGACACGGTGCATCACATTCCAAGGACATGGCAGATGTGGGAGAGCTCGTCGAGGAAGCCATTCGAGGTGAAGTAGTAAGCACGTCTGAGCCGATGCAAGCACCTGTTGTGATGATCAGATGATGCCGGCGTCATATGACGTCACGCGTGCTAAATGTGGCACTTACCCCATTTGGCGTGCATCGAACAATAGGACGAACTTGCCACTTGAAAATAGCCGTCACCACCTCGCAAACCAGCCATTTCCGATGTAGATACACTCAGGAATCGACCCCAAGCGTCCCACCGCGCCCAAGACCTCGCGCTCGACTCTGCGAGCCTCCCGCCATCTGCCATCAAACCCCTTGTACTTCTGCCTTTGTACTTTCTTCGCGGCACCCCTTGTATTCCGGCCCGCTTGGAGTTTTTTTCTGCTGGAATGAGGCATTCTCGTGTACTGGCTTTCTTCTCGATCCGGACATACTGCACGACCTTGTATTCGTCTCCAAATCACGCCTGGTCGCGACGCTATATAAACCACGCCTTCTCACGCCCAAGGTGTTTACCTAGTTCTGCTCCGCAGATTCTCTCCTCTCCCTACGATGGGCAACGTACTCGTCAAGTCCCCTCAAGAGCATGCCTCCGAAACCGCTCGTTACGCAGAGCGGGAGTTCCAGCTCGTCATCCAGCGCGTTCCGAGGAAGCCAGCACCCGGGCACAAGCCGTTTCCTCTGTCAACACTCCGTCTCTTGCTGATCGAATCACAGACACATCCGTGTCCATTTCTACTCTCACTTGTATCAAGTGTACGACGGTGCGCCTCCAGACATGACCGCTGATTTTCCACTGTGTCCTCGGGGTGGCCTGGACGTCAACTTGGTGAAGGGTGCCTGGGGTCTGGAAACCTGCACGGTAAGTTCTGCTTTTCACACCGCCGACTCTAGTCACGAGTTGGCAGCCGGTCGATCCTCTACGATGGAAACCCGTTGAGCCAACGCACGTGAACTACCTTTCGCCGGTGGCCCTGCGTGTTTTGTCGGAGGAACAAGACGGGTGCATCAAAGTCATAGGTATGTGTATGGCTCGGAACTCGACTCTAGTTTCGTGACACCTGCTCTCCAGAACCATTTGTATCGCAGACCACCTTGATACAGCGACAAACGCGTCACGCCATTCTTGCGACCGTCACTGTCCTCTACGTGATCTGTGCGCGCTGGCTCGACCTCGTTTACCAGTGCCTCGAGACCGATACGACACTCATCGCCCACCTGCGGAGGTCAAAGCGGCGTCTGGCCGCCGTCACCATCGACTGGGAGGCTGTAGTGACGAACATCCTGCTTGCCGCCTGGGGCCTGCTCGTTTATGCCTATTTCAATGGCAACATCGCTGCTAATCAGCGATTACACAACTGGGCTCGGACTGGTTCGTTATCTCTCTGAAGTTCTGTTATTATGTTTATGCCTATATGCCTATGCCTATGCCTGTCCCTGTACTATGCCTATCCGCTCCTTGTTGTTGTTGTTGTTGTTGTATTTGTGTACATGCGCGTTTGCTCACTCCATTATCTTTTGACTCGACTCTGTGTGATGCGAACCAACCAAGGTGTTTGTCAAATCCGCCTCGTTGCCTGGTTCGTTATTCAAGAGAGCCAATATCTCAACATCGATCACAGGCACGAAGGAATCTCGCGGAGGTGGCACTGGTTTCTGCATCGGGTTTGACTTATGACGCTCTGAACAGACAGAAAGATGGCTACTCACCTTTTGGAGACCGACAAATCTGATATCCTGGTCGACCAGAGCGCTCTCCTCAGTCCTGCCGGTGTTGCCGTCCTCTTCGTCATATCCCCAGCCTCTTCTGCAACAGAATCGGTTACGACAAACAGCATATGACAGCCACCATCCGTTACCGGCTATTGAGGCTGCTCAACAAAGTGTTGGTATACAGCTTGCAAAGCGGAAAGTTGAAGGCCAGGTGACTGCAATTCGGGACTTTGTCGCAAACGCATACAAGGAAGCAATCTCACATTCCTGAGCTCTGGCGCAGGCCCATCAGTCAACTATGGAATCAAAGAATGAATCCGATCTCACAGTAGCGAGATAAAAGCTGAGGTCCAAGACAGCAAACAGGCAGGTGATCGATCCGGTTTGTATCGACACTGTCCGGCAGACACAGTTAGTTAACTGCCTTCATTTTGATTGAAGCTGCACACGCACTGGTGACGATGTGGTCCACAACAGCATCGGTTCTCGCAAATCCTGTGCGACGTTGCCTCTGTGAATCACTTCATTTGCAAGTCCCGCGGCACAGTCGGAATTCCTACTCTGGCAAGGAGATCAGTGCGCTCCATGTCAGCGAGCCGGGGGGCCTACAGTTGGACGACGAGGATGCTTGCTATCAAGATATCCGCCACAACCTCGCACGCGAGCCAGGTAATCACGTAGGGCTTTGACACTCGTAAGGCATCAACCGTCTGCGGAAGTTGTCTGCGACTGACTTTAGCGGCTTGGAACTGTTGAAACTGGGGTCTGCGCAATCCCTCGACAGCAGTCGCTGTACGGTGCAGAAACGCAGTCAGTCCACGATATCGACATCAGCAGTTCCACCGCACCCAGCCCTCCGGCTACGATAGGTGAACAAGAGCTCCCGAACAATAATCGGGGCAAATGCTAACCAAGACCAGCGAGTGCCATCACGACGATCACAATACCGCACCATACGGTGTTCCTTGTCAGCAGATACACCCTCCATCCCATGAAGATCTGAACGAGGCACGCAATGCTGGCCTGTAAAGACTGGATTTGACAGTAACCCTAGGCCGCGAGCACAGCATACCGTCATTATAGGGTCTGCGAGATATGAATGCATATAATCAGGCAGTATATGAGTACGAGACTCTACCTGTCATGAAGACTGCAGACAGCGTGATTCAGCGACAAAGCATACTCGCACCACGGAAAAACACACGCCAAGTTGCGGATCGCAGGTATTGCAGGTCGCCTGACGAATAAATGAGCACTCGGCAGACCGCAGAGCCACGATCGCCTTCACCGAAATGAACGATAAGCGCCATGTAGAGATACGCAAAGTCAAAAAAGGTATTCAAGGTGTCCAGAAGCAGGACAAGAAGGACGAAAGAGTGGATCCAGCGCGAGTCTCTGCGAGTAGACAGATTACACGGTTTGGCCTCGAACGGATGTGCAACTGGCCGACCACTGACTTCCGCCATACAGTCGTGAAGTACGTGTGCGTCTGCAGGATGACCATACCTGCGGATCACTGGTCAGAATACGCTCGCGAGCAGCGCGTCGGTCAAGTTGGTCTCGCGCACCGAAAAGGAGAACGTTCAGAAAGAGTCCAATGAACATCGGACCATGAGCAACCTCGGCGGGACCCAGGGCCATGGTCGCACAGTGGTCAGCTAGAAGGAAAGAGCGAGACCGTTCAGTTGGAAGTAGGTGTGGAAGAAAGCAGAGAGGGCTTCGATTCCAGCCGTCATCACGTCATCATCCGTTTCGGCGCCGGGCAAACAGCAGCGAGTAGTTTGCGACTACAGCATCATAATGCTGGACTCGCTCGTGAACACAATGAGCGAGAATCCGGGGAGCTTGAGAAGCACACGGGTCGGGTATTCACGAGAAACCAAGATGGGATGGAAAGCCCGCATCGAACCAGCCTCTAATCACGCGTAAACGCACTCCACGCGAGGGATCACATCACGGGGTCGTGAAACGTGACAAAAGTTACGATTTTGAAATGTGTCATGACCAGGTTCGAGAGTTAAGCAAGCCCTGGAGGTCTAGAACAGACATTCCGGGGCCTGGAAAAAGAGGTCAGCCACGTCCAGAGTCCACTCGGTGACGATGACCTGTGCATGTTGCCTTGAAAGTCCCCCAAGATGAGTTACGAAAATCTTCGCTTTGTGTGAGGATTTGACAGACTGTCAATCATTGATCAATTGTTTGACAGTGGGTGTCACTGCGATTCAGCGACACTTGCACGTGCACGGGTATGCTTTTACAAGAGCGCAGTCAGTGACATATGTATCAAGAAGCGCCGCAGTGTTCACCCCAATGCCGACACTTGAAGTATTATAGAGCTGACTATTCGGACAGAAGTGCCGTAGTTGTCTCGGCACGTCTTGTCATTCGGACTCCTACGAGGCAAACGTCAGTGGATCTTCGAGATGGACCTGGGAGGAGAACCTGAAATTTCTGATCGATGGGGTGTCGAACGTCGCGCGTACGGCTCATCTGACCTTGCTCAGCTCTCCTCTGTCGGTCCGACTGCCTCCGCCCCTTCTTTCAGACGCTTCTGGGACCCGGCGAACCCCATCTCGGGACTCAGAACGCCTGTGGCTCCGAGGAAACCCCAGCGTGCACTTATAAGATCATGGGATACAGCTTTTGCTGTTGTGCGCGCGCATGTTTCTGCTACTCACACTTCTCGCCGCGCTGCAGGCTCTTGCCCGCGGGCAGGGTTTTCCCGACTGCGTGCATGGGCCGCTGGCCAAGAACGCCGTATGCGACACCTCGAAAGACCCTATCACGCGAGCCCGAGGACTTGTCGCGGCTATGACCACGACAGAGCTCATCAACAACACGGTGCATATGGCTCCGGGCGTGGCACGGCTGGGAATACCCAGCTACGACTGGTGGAGCGAAGCGCTGCACGGCCTTTCGACGATCCATGGCGTCGCCTTTGCTGCCAGCGGAAATTTCAGCTACGCGACTTCGGTGAGCGGCGATCTGTCGCGTTGTCTGCATCGCACGGCTTCTGACGCCATGAGACGCAGTTTCCGCAGCCTATCGTCATGAGTGCTGCATTCGACGATGCTGTGAGTTTCCATCGCACATTCGCCTCTGCGTGACCTCACTCTATTCCAGCTCATCAAAACTGTCGCTTCGACCATCAGCACTGAAGCGCGTGCGTTTTCTAATGCGGCGCGGACTGGGCTGGATTGGTTTGCGCCAAACATAAACCCGTGGCGTGATCCACGGTGGGGCCGGGGCCCGGAGACGCCCGGAGAGGATGCGTTCCGTGCGGCACAGTACGTGTACCAGTACATCGACGGCTTCCAGGGTGGGATTGATCCAAAACCGTACATCAAAAACACGGCAGTCTGCAAGCATTGGGCTGGGTGTGAGTCCGCTTCCGTCTTTCCTCGTGCATTTCCTCATGGCGCGCAGATGACATTGAGACGAACCGGCTCGCATTCGATGCTATCATCACCACACAAGAGCTGAGCGAGTACTTCATGCGCCCCTTCCAGACGTGTGTCCGTGATGCCCGGGTCAATGCGGTCATGTGTTCATACAATGCGTGAGTGTATGCTCTCCATTTACGTAAGAACGGCAGACAACTCGATTCGACAGAGTGAATGGGGTGCCCGCATGCGCCAGCCCGTACCTGCTCCAGGACGTGCTGGTCGGTTCCTATGGCTTCAGCAACAACAGCTGGGTTGCCAGTGACTGTGATGCCGTCGCCAACATCTTCGATGCCCACGGCTATACCGACTCCTACCCCGCTGCAGCTGCCGCGGCTATCAAGGCGGGCACAAACGTCAACTGTGGGACGACCTTCTCTCTCTATCTCCAGGCGGCCATCGACCAAGGCTTGGCAGAGCGTGCTGATGTCGAGAATGCCGTCGTGCGGTTGTACTCGTCTCTCGTCCGGCGAGTGTTATCTAGCCTTCGCGGGTGTGTGCCATTCTGACGTCTCGATAGTCTGGGGTACTTCGATCCGCCTACCCAACAGCCGTACCGTCAGATCACATGGGATGAAGTGAACACTCCCTCTGCCCAGAAATTGGCATACGTCGCAGCGGCAGAGGGTCTAGTCTTGCTCAAAAACGATGGCACGCTTCCGCTGAAGAAAAATCTGAAGAAGATGGCAGTCATCGGCCCATGGGCCAATGCTACCACGCAGATGCAAGGCAGCTACTTTGGCATCGCGCCTTTCCTGATTACGCCCATCATGGGAGCCAGCGCAGCTGGATACCAAGTCATTTATGTTCCCGGCATGGCGGATGTTCTGGATACGTCTACCTCTGGGTTTGCCGACGCGATTGCTGCTGCTCATGCTGCCGACGTCGTTGTCTTTGTTGGTGGCATTGGTGTGCTCGTTATGTTTTATTTGGAAAATCGACACCTGACCCTATCTACAGATGCTACTGTTGAGGGAGAAGCTCTTGACAGAAAGACCATCGTCTGGACTGGCGTTCAGCTTGAGCTGATCCAAAAACTCTCGGCTGTCGGCAAGCCGCTCGTCGTGGTGCAGTGCGGTGCAGGCCAGATCGACGATTCGTCACTGCTTTCCAACACAGGTGTAAGTGACATGACCTCCCTTGCGAGTGCTCCCAATCGAATAAATTACAGGTCGGAGCCATTCTCTGGGCGGGATACCCCGGCCAGAGCGGAGGAGCCGCTATTTTCGACATCATCAGCGGCAAGGTTGCTCCTGCTGGTCGTTTGCCGGTGACGCAATATCCCGCCGCCTTCATCGACCAAGTCCCGATCACCGACATGAACCTGCGACCGAACAAGACCTCGGGGAACCCAGGGCGGACATACCAATGGTACACTGGCTCCCCCGTCTTCGAGTTTGGCTTTGGGCTGCATTACACGACGTTCTCGGTCCATTGGCAGACGACCCCGGTCGCGAGTTACTCGATCTCGAATCTGTTGAAGAAGGCCGGATCCGCCACACACCCCGATCTGGCGGTCTTCGATACGTTCAAAGTCAACGTGCACAACGCCGGGAGCACGGTCTCGGACTTTGTCGCTCTGATGTTTGTGAAGACGACGGCAGGACCAGCGCCGTTCCCGAACAAATCGCTGATCGGGTATTCACGCGTGGCTGCGCTCAAGGCAGGGTGGACGGTCGCTACGTCGATCGGTGTGACCCTGGGCAGCATCGCCCGCACCGACGACAGCGGTAATCTCTGGTTGTATCCCGGCCGCTACAGCCTCAGCGTCGATGTGCCTGAGAGTCTGACCCATGATTTCACCCTCACCGGTCAAGCGGTGCAGCTCAGCCACTTCCCCGCACCGCCATAGTTGCAGTAGCACTCGAGTAGCATGTTCAGAGCAGTGTAAGCACATTTCCATCAACTCTTTATGACGTCAAATCATCCCCCTATGGACCCACTTTGGACGACATTCGCGTAAGATACCGTCCAGCCAGACTCATCCATGTGAGGTGTGCAACTTGGACTGAGCATCCTAATTCTGCCAATTATCACTGCGGCGTTATCGAAGGAGGAATTCGAGTCGAAAATCCTCAAATTAGGGAAACTAAATTTTCCCGAATAGAGGGCATTTGAGAGTGAGAGAAATACTGGACATGACATTAGAATGGGCTGCACCGAGAACCCCCGCGACGGTGCGAAGAGGACATGTAGCAATGCAATGCAGTGCTATGAGCCTAACCCTAAAATCTAATAATTTCTCTCCATCAAAAGCTGCCGCTTCTTCTCTCCCTCGATGCCTCTCGACGGCCACTCTTATCTCGTCGCTCAAGGATGGACTGGTAGCGGCACGGGGCTCCGTGACGGCGCCATCAGCCGGCCTCTTGCCATCCCCCAGAAGAAAAATCTCGCCGGCCTGGGCAAGGACCGCGACGAGGCGTTTCCGTTCTGGGACCAGTGCGTCTGTTCTCCTGGTCTTCGTTTGACAGGTTCACATACCCGCCCCGCAGCCTCTTCTCGGCCGCCTCCAAGGCCATCCAGATCAAGCTATCCGGAGCCGACAGTGTAACGTCGTCTGGCCGCTCCATGTCGCACTTCCCAACTGATGCATTGTGTGTCCACTCAGGATACGAACGATTCCGACCTCGACGACACCCCCAATGCCGATCTAAAGCGCACGAGCACCGGGATCCTCTCGAACCGCCGACCGATCGTCGGCACGAGCGCAGACACCTCCGGAACCTCCACACCCGATGTCGACTCGGCTCACGCGCGCCTGAGCCTGCTGGCCCAAGCCAAGCGCGATGCCGCCAAGCGCGGGCTGTACTCCAGGTTCTTCCGCGGGCCCGTCGTAGCCCCGGACTCCGACGATCCTGCCCAGCAGCCCGCCGCGCCGGTCGCGGAACCCAGCGACGCGCGGCCGAGCAAGAAGCGCAGACGGAAATCGACGTTGTCCGACGCGGATGCGAAGGACGACTCGGACAAGCGTGAGCGGAAGCGGCTGCGGCAGGAAAAACGGGAAAGGAAGGAGCTGAGGAGGCAGAAGAAGGAAAGGAAGGAGCTGCGCCGATTGAAGAAGGAGAAGAAAGAATCGCGTAGGAGGAAGGAGGACGAGGGAGCCGGAATCACGAACGCAGGCCGGTCGACAGAGGATGTCAACGTTGCAGAGAAGCAGGAGAGGAAACGAGAGCGTTCTTCATCTGGTGCAGAGTCGTCGAAGCAGGATGCAGAGCGAGTACCACGCAAGCGAAAACGAGAAGACATCGGAGCACAGCAAACTGTCGTCCCAGACAAGAAAGAGGAGAGGCGCAGACGACGGACATGACTGAGCGGTTTGAGCAATATTCAAGGTATACGTTTTTTACACTAGAACAAGTGTTGGTGTATGCTGGTACTAGGTACTCTCATAAACGGTTGACATGCAGGTATTCTGAATATACATATTGGATGAACAAAAACAAGACCGGAAATGATAGATGATTCTCCTACACCCTGGCACTTCTCCAGGCGCTTTGCATGGCAATGCGGCGGGCCTAGGGCTGATGAGCAAAACCAGATAGCCGAGGAGAAGCAAGATATACCTGGTCCAAGGATATCGAGTCTTCTCGCAACTCGACTTTCTGTCGCCCGTGATCCTCGTCGTCCTCGTCCTCGTCGATCATACCACCCCGGACACCTCCTGCCCGTATCCCCCCAAACGCTGCCTTACCACCAGCAAGGGAGAACGGTGTTGACGCTACTGCCGTGCCAAACACACTGGCATTGGCCGGGGCTCCGAATGCGGCAAAGTCGGTGACGACCTTGCGGGGCGGCGAGCCAGTTGCAAGTTTGGGCGATGAAGAGGGTGCTGCCTTGATCGGCGACCGAGGAGGTGTCGCTGGCGCAAATGGATACGAGTGGCTTGTCCCATAGGATGTCCGCGCCGTCGACCGAGACTCGAGATACTTATCCGTGAAACGAGTTCCGTTGACCTAGGCGTTCATCAAGATAGCCAAAAAGATCGCGTCCAAGTCCGGGTAACATACCCGTTTCAACTGAGGCCTCGCCTCCGCTAGCGACGGCGCATGCATGTACACTTGCACGTTATGCTTGGACTCTTCTGAATCCTTGTAGATGCTCTCGATGACCACCTTCTTCGTGCTCTCGTTTCGCAGAAGTAGCTTTTCGTGCAGTTCGCGGGCAACATCATCCACACTTTCGTTGTTCCCGAGAATCCGTTGTGCGACCGCATTGCCAACTTCGCGCACCAGTCGGTCCATGTCCAGATTCTCCAAGACGCTCCCAACGATGGCATGGGCCAGCAGGTCAGCGGTTGTGAGAGGGAGCATGAGACCAGACGTGATATTAGTGATGGCTCGATAGAAATCAGTAGCGTACTGAAAGTGGATCAGCACTCTGGTTGCAGACATGGCATGGCTGAGCCAACCCACCGAATACCCGCTCAAGGCAGGTTCACAGGCCACGAAGAACTGATCGGTCCATGAGCAGGAGCCTGAATGCGGAGAATCTGCAAACCAAAGTGATGCCCCGGCTGGCCATGACTCGAGCGAGCTGCAGCGGATCGTTGTTATCAGGCGAGCCTTCATCGAAACCTGCGATCCTGCTCAGATCATGAAGATGTGTCGCTGAACTGGACGCACCATCCCCGTATTCACCGATCCCATGCGGGGGTGCATCGGCAATGAGCACGATCATCTTGCTAGCGTCATCTCTCCATTCCATATTCAGGGCTTCATGCATCGCAGCCGTCACAGCCTCCGGACCATCTCCCCCGCCAGACGCATACAAACCAGATAGGTCCTTCTGCACTTTGCTGCTGTCCGACGAGAAGCCGAAGTTCTTCGTGATGTACGTGTGATCTTGCGGGGGGTGGTCCCGAAATGCGACCAGCCCAACGCGCAGATCCTCCGTCGCTTGCAGTTTTCCGGACTCAAAGATGTGCGCGCATATCTGCTCGATATTCTTCGTTGCGGAGGATATATAGCTACCCTGGCTGCCGGTGCAATCTTGTATGAAGACAAGGTCACTGTGGAGGCGGAGATCAGCCGAAACAATTTGTCGTACTGGACAGGCACTGACAGCATTTTGCGTCCGCCATCCATCGGCCCCATCGGATTCGAGTATGCCTGGGGTGGTGGAGCGTCAGAGGGCGCAGATGGGCCGTCGAAATCCATGTCGGCATCCATGCTTGCAATGTGGTTGAGGGTAAGAGCGGATCGATGGAACTGAGTTTGGAGAAGGATCAGACGAAGATTAACGATGGACTAGATATATGTCGGCTGTAATGCCCGGTGCAGGTGAACAGGCGTACGGCTCTGGCTGAGCTTCTCAAATGACTTGGTGGTCTGTGCAGAAACGAGTTCTCCGCACGCCCTTTACCCCATTTGGCACTTGCGTCATCTGATATCGCCTGCAATCACAAGTCTCTTTTCCCGCCACTAACAATCCATGCTATCCAACTATGTATGTCAAGCCCGGGAAACGCACCACGACCAGGCCGAAGAGTCCGATAAAGCATAAACAAACCTGCAGTGCAGCCACCGAACAGCGCGGTCAGAGCCATGTACATCCTCAGCCGGGCCGTAGCACTTCGGGCGCGATCCAGCCCACCAGGGATAGCACCATGTCTTTTCGACTGTCAGAAACCGGGGAACACATATCCCATCATTCGACGCACGGATTCAACGCTATTGCGCAGATTTCGTGGAAGACATCTGCTGTTTGACCCGTTCTCACGCTTACGGCGACAGGAACTTGCAGGCCGAGCCGTCGACAATAGACATCGGGTTGAACTTCGTGTCGCTGCAAAACGTAAGCAAATATGCCCAACACGACTCCTCGCACTCACTTGCTGGGCCAGATCGAGGTCCGACTTGGTGGCGACGAAGAGAGTGGGGATATTATCTAAACTATACTGTTGCTGCACAGAAGATCAGGAACAGAACAGAACCGCACCGGTGACGACTTGCCCGAAGATTACTGATGTAAGAGAAGGAGTTGGTATCTCCCGAATCATAGACATGGACGATGACATCCGCCAAATCCAGCTTTTTGGAGTTCCGCAGCATCTCTGCCTCGTACTTGGAACCGAATTCTTGCAGCTGGGCGACAATCAGCGGCAGCAACCACCAAACGCACAAATCTTACCACCAAATATTTCTCCGATCCGTCGATTGCCACAGAATTGACCACGCTCACAACCTTTGTCGTAGGCTCGTAGACAGACGATATAGGTTTTCCAGCAAACGCGCGCAGAAGAGATGTTTTTCCAGACCCAGCAGCTCCGCAGAGATAGCATAAAAACACATTCCGCGTGACTTTGCCTTTCCTCCGATCCGTCTTCCGTGGGCGTGTAACCTGAAGTGCGCCAGTTCGTGGTTCGTTGGGATAGCCCAAGTAAGCCAAGTAAGCCAGCGTCGTCTTATGGTCCAACAAAGTCGTCATACTTGTCACACGCATCAGAGAAGTGGAGAATTGTGTAGATGCGATCACACCTCCACTGGGCAAGCCATCCTTGCAGAGTCACGGCTCCCGAATCATCAGAAAGGGTGGTGTCTGGGAATTTCTGGGTGGCCCAAGGATTGCCAGGAGACGTGCTGAAGACCTCATCCAGCTCGTGTGTCTTCAGCGCCCCATCTTGGTCCTACACCAGTTCGAGCCAGAAACATCAAGTGAGACTACCAGACACACCTTGTCGAAAGTTTCGAACAGATCAGTGAAGAATTGATAACCCAGGGGACTCAGTTCAACCGAGCAGTCCGGTAGAACATCGAATCTGCGTGGGCGGCATGTCAGACTCGACTGATTCAAGAGCTCGGGACAAACTTGGGTAGCAGGAATCCTTCCGTAAGTTTCAAGTCTTCAGCGTAACCAAACTTGCGTAAAACCGTCCATGTCGTTTCGAGTCTCCCTCGTTGGATGAAGGTCGTATGTAGGTAGAGGAAGCCCCGTTCAGTCAGACCTCCGTCCTTGACGCCGCCTTCGGTATGTGCAGAAACCATTTGCCGAATCCCTTCCAACTCTTGGACTTGAAGCGGCGCATCGAAGCATTTACGCTGCGCAGAGATTATCAGCGGGGACGCGTCGTGAGGTGCGACAGACACGGACCTGGAAATCGTTCAACTCCGCAGCATCCAGAATCCCATCTTTATTCAGGTCGCAGAGCTTGAAAATACGCTGCAACGCGCTGACACATGCAGGTTTCAAGACCTGGACGTTATCAGAGTCTAGCGTACGACGTCTGCAATACACACACATGGTCGCGGGAGTCGTATAACGGAGCTGTCGGATGCAGAACTGCTTTCTGGGCAAAGTAGAAGACCTCTGACACATTCACGGGTTGTTTCGCGGAGCACTCTATGCACGTCTCGACTTCCTTCACTGCGCGTTTAGCACAGTCGGTCTGCACGGGAACCAACGCACCTTGAACTCATTCATGATAGGCAAGATCTCCTCAGCCAGCGTCTCATTTGCGGGGTCATCTCCGCGCAGGTCGATCTTGTTGCCCACGAGAATGACAGGTACCTGGTGGAAAGTCAGTCCTGCCCAGCCCAGCCCAGCCCAGCCAGTCGGCACCGACTGACGTTGACACCCAATTGCCGGAAATGGGGGAGCCAGAATGTAGGGATCCGGTCGAACGAATTGGCGTTGTCTATCGAGTACACCACGCAGATGACATGTGCCTTGCGAATCTCGCTCTCAAGGTGAGGCCGGTCCTGGGGGCCCGCTGCGCGGCAGTAACGAGACAGATTAGAAACGAAATGGAAATGATGTCCATTGGGTCCACGCACCTCCCGAGTCCACGATATACGTCGTCACATTCTCCGGGGTGACCTCGGGCGGGATGGTCACTTCGGGAACGATATGCTGAACCTGCGCGGGCCGGGATTTGAGCTACGACGCGACTGGACGGCAATGCAATGCTTATTCACATGGGCGACGTAGGACTCCTTGATCAAAGTGGTGACCAGTGTGCTTTTCCCGACACCCTCTGTGAATGCGATGAGATGTGGTTGAAAGGTCGCGTAAACGAGCCCGACCGTCGCCAACGAGCAAAACCCTGACATCTCTTCTCATACTCCGAGACTCTGTCTCGGTGGAACGAAGATGGCTTCAAGAAAGGGAAAGAATGCGGGGAAGTGGAAGAAATCTATGTAGAGTGTAGAAGTCACAGCGTGACTTAATGCCGGCTGGACGCGTCGCGTGCTCTGAGCCAGATCTAGGGACACATATATCGGCTATGACGGAAGACAGCTTCCGGTCGCACCCGTGGTATTATTCTATAAGTATACGTGATACGGAGTACGTGGATAAACTGATCGAGAGTACACTATTCTAGAGCGCTCCGCAATTCTTTCCAGAGCCTGAAGATGTTCAATGAATTGGCTAATGAGAATTGCATGAACAGCACTTACGCGCATCTGCGCATCAGGTCTGCAGGCGGGGCGGCAGTTGTCAGCTGAGGCACTGCTTGAGCTGTGCGATTGAACACCATCTGGTTCCCGCCATCTGACCACCGAGGCCAATAGGGAGCAATGCTGGGCTGCAACTTCAGGCTCGGGTCGCCATTGGCGGCGAACGAGAAGAATACTTGTTGAAACGCAGTGATGAAGTCAGTGTTGTTGTATGCGAGCGCGAAGCCTGCGAAGCTGATTGACTGGAAATAGTAGAATATATCTTCACCGTGCACGGCAGGAGGGACTGCGTATTCTCCCTGTAATTCACGGTTAGGCACCAGGATGCATGTGATTCATGCTGACCGACCTTCCAAGCGTTGCCGGGGAAAGCATCGACAGCGAGATAGGATGGGCAGACGAAGATGGCTACGATAGATCAGCTGGGTGCGAAAGATCACTGCGTCAGAAAGACACGCCTTCGGTCATGATGGCGGTGGCCTAATGAATATCGTGAGCATCAAGAGGGGGGCAGCTGTGAGCAACTGACTTGTTCTGTTGTGCTGCCCACGGAATGGTAGATGGCAGCAACGGATTCTGCTTGCGTCTCGTCCAAAAGCGGGAGCATATTTCTTGTGAATTGTGTGATGTTATACCCAACGGTCTGGTCGACGAACACAGCAGCTTCGAGGCTGTTTGTAATGACGAGCAATTCATCCTGGAATGGATCAGATGATATTTGTGCAGTGATTGTTCGACCATACTCCGTTTGTTTCGCCCTGTTCAAGAGCATCGGCGGGGCTCTTCGTGATGAGAGATCCGTCGACAACGGGAAGAAATGTGAAAGTGCCTTCAAAAGCAGCCGAAGCCAGGTCTATGTTGATCCCTTGCAAGACCTCGCCATCCGTTCGTCGCAGGCAGTCGAGCTGATCTCCCGAAGCACACCTGATTCACGCATTTCAGAATTCGCCACTGCGGAGCAGAAAGGACAAACACACCCTGCTTGGCCGGCCACTGAATCAAACAAGCTCTGGGACATAGGTGAGCCGGGGAACAGCTGAGAAAGACACGCCGCATATACCTGGGGAATGACATCCCCATATCCGTATTGAGGGGGAAGAAAGAGCGAGCTGGTGATCCCGGTCTTGAAGAGTTTGGGCTCCGTCTTTCCACCATTGGCCACGACATGCTGAATGACCGAACCCGCTCCAGCCGATTGTCCCCAAATCACAACGTGAGCTGGATCACCGCTAGGACCGTGTTGAGCGCACAAAAACATCTGCAAGAAACTCCAACAAACCCGAATTTGTGGATCTGAGGGCCTTGTAAGCAATGAACACAGTGAGATCAACAACAATACGAACATGATCTTGGACCCAGTGCAAAGCGAATTGTTGGTCGACTATACGGCATTTGTCATCATCAGCCTGTTTCAACGCCAGGGGAGCTCGTACGAAGTCCCGCATTCAGCACCCCACTCTTTTTGACCTGTTCCCCAGCGAGGAATCCTGGTGGACGAACTTAATAAGCCTGATCAATCAGAGACATAAGACGTTACCAAAGAGCCCTAGCCGGTATTGGATGGTAACGACAACAAATTTGCTTCCCGATTCGTTCACCAGGTCAGCACCGTTGTACGTGCTTTCATTGCCCCACGAATACCTGATGACTCAATCAATCACAAGAAAACGAAGCAGGTTGATAATCCTTCTACTGACCCTCCTCCGTGGATCCAAACGATGGTCGGGAGAAGGCGCTGTGGTCGAAGATCCGGCGTGTAAACGCTGAGAAAGAGGCAATCCTCAGACTGCCCGGCGTAGTCGTTCGTCCGAGCAGACAGACTCGTAGAAGCTTGACCAGCGAAGGGTCCCTGGTAACACTGCGGAGGAGCGTTGATTGCCTTCTGAGTTCCATTCGCCTTCGCAGGGGCAACGGGCGCATTCCATCTCAAATCACCTGTAATTCGATCAAACTAGGCAAGAAAACGCAACCAAGGTGACAAGCGTACCGACTGGGGGAGCAGCGTAGCGAATCCCCAGGAAAGTTGTAAGGTTCGAGGTAGAGTCGAACGCCGGTTCGTATTTGGCATAACCAAGATCAACAACGGTCTTTGAGTATGCAGAGCATATGAAACCGAAGCTGACGACGAGCGAGACAATAGATATTTTGAGCATGGGAGACGATGTTTTGCAGTTCCATCTTCGGGCTAAGTCCTGCGACTTATATACCTAGACACAAGGTGATATAGAATCTAAAGATTGCGTATGCCTTTGCCGAATGCTGAGTCGACGGAAAGTAGCTGGGATATTTAGGCTAAACGGAGCACTGGGATTCAAGAGGGTCCGAGGGGGATTTATCATCGTGGTCGGATCCTGCCGAAGTATTGATGATGGCCGGAATGCTTCTGAACACCGGGTTTCGCTTCCTGCTTTCTCTTCTGAGCACAGTGCTGCACCGTATGGTTGCCGACACCTCTGGGCAGCTCCATTTTCCTTACAATGCACCTCCCGAAGGTTCGAAACTTTGTTATGACCATGCCTCCCGTCCTTATTCTCGCTCTATTACAGACCACAGTCTCAAACGACAGTATCTCGCCTTACTCCCTCCTCAGCAGGTCATTGAGATATGCCTTGCTCTCGATATACATGTGCCCATGGCGCTGAAGAGGAATATCTGGCCGCCGGATTTCAAAGCTGTTCTTGCTTCCATGCAGAACCCACCAAAAGCAGAAGAGGCGCCGAATAAAATTCCCTCGTCAACACCAGCTGCTTCATCGACCACCAATGAAGCCCATCCTACGGCAGCATCTGATGATCAGTCTCCTCAAACATCCACCGAACGGAAGCCGCCAGATAAACCACCGGTTGCAGGTCCATCGACCCCCAATACATCGTCCTTGCAACCTTTCAACTTCTCGTCTCAGCCCGCATCCGCATATCCACACACACCTTATTACCACCAACCTCTCCCACCGGGATATCTCCCATTTTCTTTTCCATATGCCGCTGGGCCGTCCAGTGCAGCTCACCACCCGTATCCATTGCCTCCTCCCCTTTCTGCGCCAGGTTATCCTGCACCTAATCCGTACTTTGCCGCCCCGCATCAGCAAGATGCCTCTATTCCTGTGCCTGCACCTGCATCGGAAGATACAGACCTCCCGAGCTATGAGGATATGATCGTGGAGGGACTAACGACTGTTGCAGATCCTGAAGGCATGGCACCGAAGGATCTATTCAATTGGATATCCGCACGATATCCGGTTCAAGCGAACTTCCGGCCATCCGCCAGTCAAGCACTGCAAAAAGCGTATAGAAGGGGCCGGTTTGAAAAGAATGCTAGTGGGAGGTATCGGTTGAACGCGAGCTGGGAAGGGGGGAATGTGCGTCTCATTTCTTTTACGATCTCGATAGTCATCCTCAGCGGTCCCAGTCCTCCACCCGCCGCGCGACTCGCCGTCCACAAACACATAACGCGACTCCGATCGTGATGCAAAAACAAGCACGGATGCCGAACGGCGCCAGTCCGTTCACTCCCATCCCACGACCCTCCCCGCAAGCATTTGTGCCTGCTCCGCCACCCGTGTCGCCGTATCCCGCGAGCCAGCCGACACCCGCACCAACGCCCGCAGCTGCGCCCACAGAACCTCCGCGACCGATCCCTCCAACCGAAGTACCACCTCCCAAGCCATCGGTCCCCCCAAATTCGGCCTACCAGGCCGCGGAAAAAATCCTGCAGACCATCAACTTCGGCGCCGTGTTCAGTCTGGAAGACGAGGCAGCCAGACGGATGTCGCCTGTCAAAAGCGAATCCGTCTCGCTTTCCCTGGCGGAACACGCGAGAGCCGAGCTGCAGGGCCAGCTTGCGCTTCTTGCCGCGCAACTGGAGGACATCGCCCAGCTCGAAGCCGATGCCGAGGCAGCTGCCCACGACGAAGACGGGATCTAGTCTTCCTGTTTCATTGCTATGTACTGCTCTTTTCTTTCTACACATTGTATCAAAAAGGCAAGGGTCCAGCGTTCGACTGTATATCTAGTAGTACATTTGGGTGATACTATTGTTTCTCTGCTCGGTTTCACTTCAGATTCTGCAGAGCTTTATCGACAATCTCCGTCATGGCAATCACAGCCTCCTCCTCTTGCGTGCCTCCAATCAGCTGCAACCCAATGGGACATCCTGGGAACATGTCTGCCGCATCTAATGAACGCGTTGAGATCAGTGCGGGAGAAGGAACGGAATGGAAATCACAGAGATTGAAGATGTGGGCATCCTCCTCGTTGTAGAATTCGTGAGGAGGATGAGGATCATCGAGCTCTGGGTCAACGAACGTCACAGGAAAGACCGAGCAAGCATAATCGAGAGCATTGCACAACGTGGTGTAGAACGAATCCCTGAACATGCATGAGCCAGCGGCACGGATCAGAGGAACGAGGAGCGAACGTGTTCTGGCCGTGAGGGACGGCAGGATACGCGACTGCAGGGGAGATGATGGCATCGACAGGTCTGCCAGTTCCCGTCTTGGACGCGGTCGCACGCCAGTGGTCGAGGTGGGACTTGCGTAGTTCTCGTTTCTCCTTGTGAAGTTGCCATAACTGATAGATCTGGTACCGTAGCCCTCGTCTAGCAGGTCTAGGATGGACTCACCTCATAAGCCGTCCGATGGTAGGGTGTGCCAACGAGAGCTTTGCTCAATGGCTCGTCTAGAGCCTTCTCGCGCGAGTCTGTGATCGGACTCATCGTCTGAATCAAAGGCTCGCTCCCTTCGCACTGCTCGCGGAAGTCGTGTCCCCCGTCTGCTGCGAAAATGATTTCCTACCGCGGATGAACCACTGTCTTGGGAAAACAAGCCATGCATGACCCACCGCATTCTTATATATCTCGAGATGACGGTGTGGTTCCCAATCGATCACTACGGCCCATTGAAAAACAGTTCAGGTATCAAGATCTCGGTGACATACCTCGGTGCCCGGCAGCTTCGAGCGCGCGTTTGACGATTCCCATCGCTCTGTGGAGAGGTGGATGGGGTTTGACGACGCCATTGTCCCACATGATTGCAAAACAAAGCTGCTGGCCGTCCCCGTGTCCTTCCAGCCGATACTCGCTTTCGCTCCATGGCTTTCGGACGACAAGAGGATCCTTGAGCCAAGGCTGTGCATCAAGAAGCGCCTTCGTGAAAACTTTAACCCCGGAGAGCGAGTTGGCCATCGGGCCGAGCACCGATGAGATGGATTCTTGGCCCTCCAGTGTGTTCATGGCTCCAAAATACGGCAGCCGTCCATAAGAAGGTCGCAGAGTATAAAGTCCACAGAAAGCACTCGGTATGCGCAAAGATCTGTGGAGAGCATTGGGATTCTCCGAATGAAGAGCAGAATGACCGGGTCGAACCCTCCGATATCAGTCCCCACACCGAGTGGGCTCCCTCTCATGGCGACGAGAGCACCCTCGCCCCCAGACGAGCCGCCTGGGGTAAACGATAGATTGTACGGGTTTAGGGTGCGCCCAAACACGTGATTCATCGTCTCGCCCCACTGGCCGTCAAGTCAGTTGGAGATCTGTTGGCATGAGTCACAGCGCGCACCATAAGCGTTTGGGGAACATTCGTGCGGACAAAGGGGACTGCTCCACATTCGTACAGAATTTCAACAAGGACGCAGTCAGAATCTGCGACGCGCCCAATCCATTTCGCGTATCCTGCCACTGGGCTGAACGACAGTCCGCTGCTGACTTCCCGAACCTACCCATGATTGTTTCGAGACCCTTCATCGAGAATTGGTCTAGACGCATCAGAATAGCCAGAAACGATTGACATCATTCTTACCTTTCAAGGAGATGGGCAGTCCATGGAGCGGCCCGACGACGCGGCCGGTTGTGGCAAGATATTCATCCAGTTCTTTTGCACGAGCTAGCGCACGCTCAACGAATATTTCCGTCAAGCAGTTTGTCTGACACAGATAAGCCTAATGACAACTGACGTCGCGCAACAGTAATGAACACACCAACTGCTGAGCAATGACGGCTCGCTTGTAGAATGCAGTCGTTACTTGAACAGACGTCCACAGACTAGTCCGGATGTTGTCAAGAATGACTGGAACATCTGTTGTTTCCGTGATTTCCAATTCTAAAGCGGTCAACAATCCACATTGGCGTGGGACGTCTGTGACGTTCACTTGAGACACGGGGGGTGCCTGGATAAGCCATTCGGATGGTATCGATTCCAACTGAGCCATCTTTCTGGCCGTGCAACGTGCTTCCCAGTCCGCAGGGTAAGACGGTTCATCTGACGACATGGTGGTGAGTAGATAAGATGGTGATCACTCCCAGGCTCTTTCTTGGTCACGTGGATACATTGAGCGAGTCACGCGATGTTGACACGACGCGTCAAAGCGCGTTCCATGTCGCTGGATTGATGCTACAGATCTTGTATTTCCGACCTTTCTAACTCGTATGTAAGCGATACCTAGCCGTTCGTCGCTTCTGCCTGTATTGTACCCACTTGGCCGCGCAGCCGCAGATGGCGGACAAGATACCAGAACGCAACCAGGAAAACAAATCCGCCGACGATCGCAGCACCGATGTAGCCAGAATTATCATTGGCCTAGAGATCAGTTGGTCGATTTTGCTCTTGACCAGAAAATGACGTACATTAGCCCAACCACGCCACCATTTTCCTGCAAGGCCTCCCCCATCGGGGGCATTTGCGGCCCTTTGGCACGGGGTGCACTGGTCTCCTATGAGGCCCATGATTGTGATGAGCGAGATGCTGTAAAAGATCGAGACAATTTCAATAATCATTCAGGAAGTATTCAGGTTTGGTACCTGAATGCCACGAGAATGCTCATTATGGTCAGCACGATGCTAAGCTTGGACATGACGTTCATCTTCACTCGTTGGTCACGAGTCAATTGTGCAACATCCGGTTCAGGGGCTTTGTCGTCAAGTCGAGGAGGGCCGGAAACGGTTTCGCTTTCTGTGACGCTGGGTTCGAAAAGAGCCCAGGAATGTTCAGGAAAACCCGAATAGGAATACAACATCAGGACCGAATCTGCTGAGTCAAGCAGAGCCATGGCGAATGTAAAGAGAAACTATGTCGAGATTGGCCCATTGTCATGGAAGTTGGAAGCTGACTTACAGGAAGAATGACAATATATCCTCGCGGCACTGATGTTCCGTCTGATCGCCTCACAGCCAATGCAGAAACGGCGAGCAGAGCGATGGAGGACGCTGTGTCGAATCCTGAGCCAGTCGTGAGAGCGGAAACCAGCGATCACGACATATAGACCAAATCCAAACAGGATTCCAACGGGATACATCTATCTCAGCAGTTAGAAAGATTGCGAATGGCGTGCAGATGTAAATCAGACCTTCCACGGCTTGTTGACAAAGTTAATGATTGGACCCAGTATACGCAACATAAGCATGTGATCATGATGTGCCTCGACGACTTCGGGTGTGTAATTCTCTTCTGCACGCTTACTAGCCTGGAGTGTATTTGATGAGAGTAGGAGGCGTTAGTTAGAACCACCCATACCGCTCTGCGCCTTCTCAGAATTTGATACAGAATGATCGAGTTTGCGAGAGCGACGATGAATAGAAACGAGCCGCTCACAGCCGAGCCTGGTGTCAGTTGAAATGGGATCGGAGAAAGTGCGGATGCCCCGACCGACTATCCCTCCAATTGTGCCTATGCCATCCAGTTTGTTGTAGATAGTCGTCGAAATGGCGATCGCGACATTCTGTGCGTCAAAATCAGACCGATATACAGCTCAAACGATGCTATCTATGCAGACTTACGACGGCGATTACAATTGTGCTGTGCCCTAGAGAAAAGAAAAGCCCGCAGGTGATAGGAAGTTGACCGGTGTTGATCAGTCCACGAGTCGCGTTGTCGATTGCACTATAAGGCGTCGAAGGCGTTCCATAAAGAACTGGAGAGTGACAGACCTAATGTGATCGGCGTCGAGAGCTTGCAGATGTGAGCAATGCAAAGTTTGAGATGCGACCCAGTCGCACCATGCCTAAGTCCGAGAGTCTGCACATGGGTCCTATGAGTTCAACGTTCGAGGGATCAAGAGGGGACAATCGTACCCATGCTAAGAGCGCTAGACTCAGGATCGGTTGTGTTTCCGATTTACGACCAAACAAGATCCCTGCCGCAATCCAACACATAGCGTTGGCTAGCGAAAGGGATCCCATCAGCAGCACAGACCGTCCGAACAAGGTCAACTTCTTCATCGCGAACGATAAGATCAAGCTGGTCCGTGCAGCAAGGAAGGTCGCACGTGACAATCTTTTACGTCAGCCCGCTTTTGCTCTCGACAACGTTTGTTGGCCCTGTTCCTCTTGTTCCCTTGCTATCACGACATGTCCGACTCTTTTCCTGAGGCGGACAAAAGGCCAAATAACTCTGAAGCTCCCGGTATATCCGACCCAGCCTCGTCTTTACGTGCTGCTGCTCTCTTGACTCTGAAAACCAAGCGTCGCAAACCTGATACCAGCAATTCCCGTCCTCCACCACGTGTTGACAACTCTTTTCAACTCGACTATGGCCAAATGGATCCTGCTCCACCCCCATCTTCCGACGTTGACATGTCTCTGGCAGCGTCGCTCAAGGTACCCAAGTCTGACGTCGAACTGGACGGTCAATCGCGCGAAGAAGGCGAAATAAGTGACTCGGAAGACCCTGCCTCAAAAACAGCTCCCATCACCACCAGGGAAATAACAAGCTCTGCACAAGTCGACTCGCTTCGGCCCTCAGCGACAAAAGCAAATCTCAACGACGCATGCATCATTGGCCCTGATCGTGTCCGGCCTGGTCTTTACAGTGTGTATGATCGTCCCCATTCCTGCTTTCTGATACAGTATCGTGCAGTGAACCAGACGCAGTATGATACTGCCAAGGATATCGTGCTTGACCTCTTAGGCTGGGGCGTTCCTCCTGACTACCTGGTGGACTGTAATCTCAGTCGCGAACTGATCTTCTATGTATTCAGCGAGCTTAATCTGCGACTCCCCCAAAACCTCGATGTCACTGGTCTCGTTCCGTATACTCCAGCTTACGTAGCCGCCCATTCCCGTCCGCTCTCAGTGGTCTCTTCGTCACCTCGGTCTGAAGCCCGATCGCAGCATCCAAGTTTACCGCAGAAGCCTGGAGTCGATTATTTGGGTGCCGCTGATGTCGTCGCCGATCCACCTGTCTTATCATGCGCGACGAAAGACGAGTCAACAGATGGCACCCTGCACGACATTGAACGACAACGCCGCGAGGAGCTGCTTGCTCGCAAAGCCATCCAAGTAACCCGCAAAGTCAAGCCCTCGTCCGACGCCTCATCAATCGCGTCGTCGTCGGCAGATTACGACGTTGAAATGCCGCTTACAATCCCCACCGAAGCCGTTGAGGACTTCCTGAAGACTATTGGGGAGAAGAGCCTTTCGCCGAAGATTAAGACGGAGCCGATGGATTCGATGGAAATTGATGACATACCTGATCTTGGAGGAAACAATTCGCCAGTGGACATGCAAGGTAACGTCGCCGGCCATCAAGTTGTCACCTCACCGACGGACTCGATGGGCCCTCCAACCACCGAACCTCCAGAGGATTTCAGCCAGCGCCGTAATGGAAAACGACCCAGTGCTGCCGACTTTGTCGACCTCGATGTTGGTACCCGCAATGGCCACAGCAACGGCCGGAGCGTACCCAAGGCGCCTGTCCCGATTCGGAAAACTGCAAGTTTTGCCAGTATCAGCGGGCACCGGAAACTCGTTATTGATCTCAGCGACGAAAGCGACGGAGATGACGAGGCAGGGCCAGCGTGCGAGGAAGACGCTGAAGTTGCGAGTCGTTATTCGTCTCCGGGTCCGGGTCGTATGCCGGCAAGTGCTAGTTCCGGCCGAGGCTCACCACCTGTTCCACCGCAAGCGGGCACTATGACTTTAGTGGAAAAAGAGGAGGAGATTCGCAAGATGAGGGAGATGATTGCCCAGAGGGAACGAAATCGGCTGAACAAGGTGCGTGAAGGCTGCTCTGGTCGGCGTTTGTGAAGCTGATCGGTATTGTTCAGATGTCAAGATCCTCGTCCACTGTTCCGGTTGAGTATCAAGATAACGCTGCTGCTGGCACGTTCATTACTGACCGCTCTCTGCGTCACTCATCTTGCCATCTAGATGACCTCCAAGACACGAAAGACCCAGGCGCGTCGCTCTTGATGTCACGTTCTGACTGCTCGCTGATTCGGTGCATGTATTCGGCACAATCTTTCCCCTGCCTTTCCGATCTGTCGCCTGTTTGCTTCTTCCAACATCCTCTTTGACGCGCATCTTCCATACTTATCCCAAACTGGCAACTCCCAGATATGGTGACCCCGTCGCAAGCACAACTGGCAAGAATCACTCTTCTCGCTCGTCCGCCCGGCACTCTCTGACCAGTTTCCACCCTTTCTCTTCTGCTTTTGCTGTTAAACCGACACTTGCCTGTATAGTCGACAGTTGATGAGGACCCTGGGCGAGTTGCCATTCGCCCGGTCGATGTCAACTCAGCATCGACGCAGGTGCGTTTTCCGAGTTCGTTAGCGTTCCGCTGGTATTTCGGAGACGAGGTTGGGCCCTGACGTAAGATTTTCGCTTTCAGACTCGGTTAGCAACGCAAATCCCTCCAAAACCCGGTGAAGGCCACGGAGCTTGTGATGAGTATGAGCACTTTACCCAATACGAGTCCTCGCTCGCCAGATACCCCCTCCTTGGCGGCCACTCTACACTCTCTTTATCCAACCCGTCGTTCTCTTCGTCTATACCATCTGTGCCGAATCTGCTGCCGCTCAAACAGACTTCCCACCGGACGCTCGATCCAGGAAAGAGGATATGCCAATACGAGCTTCCAGGTGGCGGTGTGTGCCGAGATGCTGAGTGTAAGGATATCCATCTCAGCCGCATTGGTCGCGAGAAAGGACCGGATGTCCTGGAGCCGAGTGGTATGTGACTGGGTTTGTCTTGATTCTTCATTTGAATGTCAATCTACAGATGATGACACGGCCGAATACCTGGGTAGAGCTCTTTCCCAGGATTGGATCCATGCACATGCAGTTACCGTTGCAGGGATCACCGCGGCCCTGGCACGAACGGACCACGCTCTTGCTCTGGAAGATCGAGTGAGACTGGCGCTCGCCAGTTTTTGACGATAGCATGTTTTCTGAATAGGAAATAGAATTTCTCTTATCGGATCTCGTGGGACCAGGTCACGATGGACAGAACGTTCCCTGACATGGGAACACCAGGGACCCCAGGGACCCTTATTGACAACTTTTTCATCAACACCGTTTTGATTGTTCCTCGAATAAGCTTGAGTATTTGTAGCTGTTGTGAATTCCAAGGCTGTGTCGTCCACAAAAGGAAAAGGACCGTTGTATTGAGCGTCCGCCAGCCCCCACCGACTTGCTGTCGACCTCGTTCTTGGAACGAGCGAACCCCTCATATCTACTTCCACCCTCTCTGACGGTGCGTCGTTTCCTCCTTTGCATCCACGCATTCTGCTCCACATCTGCCCCTCTTCCCTTTTCTGTCCCTTCCCTTTCTGGTCTCTGCGATCATTCCTGACTCTCATCCAGCCCTTGCCCCAATGCGTAAGCGCGCTCGCGTCGACCTTGCCGAGCCCATCGAGAGCGGTGTCTCGGACAACGCGTTCATCGCCGACCATGATGCCATGGACTCTGCCGGCGACGATGATGATGACGACGACAAGCCCAAGAGCGGTCAGAAGCAGGGCCGGCGCAAAATTAAGATCGAGTTTATTCAGGACAAGTCGAGGCGCCATATCACCTTCTCCAAGCGGAAAGCTGGTGAGTGCAATGTGTTGCCCAATGCGTCCTGTTCCGGTCTCACATTCCTATTCAAGGCATCATGAAAAAGGCAAGTTTTCTTCCCTTTTCGTCCATTACCAACTGATATCGTTCAGGCATACGAACTCTCCACCCTCACCGGCACTCAAGTCCTACTCCTCGTTGTGTCTGAGACGGGTCTCGTGTACACGTTTACGACCGCGAAACTGCAGCCCCTCGTCACCCAGCCCGAGGGAAAGAACCTTATTCAGGCATGCCTGAACGCCCCGCATGGTACGCTTCCCTCCGCGATGCCTGTCGGCCCACCTATTGGCCGGGCTGGTCCCATGGGTGGGCCCGGTGGTCCCCCCGTGGCGAACAACCTGCCAGGTGGGCTGTCCATCAGCGGCGGAGCGAACACCTCATCTTCCAAGGATGATGACGACGGGAACGACGAGGACGAGTCCGCGCATACAGGTGACAAACGCCGTCGCCATTCCTCTGCCGCCAGTGCCTCATCCACCGGTCCAGGCGCCTCCTCCTCAAACAGCCGTGGGGCAACATCGCCCCATCCGACGACAGGACCGCCACCGTTGTCGATTCCGTCGGGCGGGCCACCACAGGGCGGGCCGTCGCAGCACCCGCAGCACGCGGGCCCTCCGTCACAGATATCTATAGGCTCTCCGACATCACCCCAACAAGCCCATGCGCCGTCAGCTCCCCCGTCTGCTCAGTACTCGTCTGGGCAGACAGCGTATTCTCATCACCAGCCGCAGCCTCAGCACCACCAGCAGCACGACCAGAACCAGATGTACCCATCGCACATGATGAACCCCACGTCGTACCAGTATCCTCCCGGAGGTGGTGCGCCGCCAACTCAGGGTCAAGCCGGTGGGCAGCAGTTGACTGGACTGGCTGCTGCTGCCGCCCAACATTCCCATTGGCAGAATCCCCAGGGTCCAGTGCAGGGTGCAGGATATGGACGACGACAATGAGGAGCGGGGACGATAATGAGTGTGCGTGCGTTCCCTGCTTTCATCCTGTGCGTGTGTTGACTGGGAAGTGCACAATAGCCCACACGATCCTATGCACTTTCTCCGATGCGTCTGCTGTATCTCATCATAACCTTAGTTCTTGCATCGCTGCCTCGTCTTTTCCCCCTCCCCTCTCTCTTGCTTCCTGTCGCGCTATTGAAATCCAAGTTTAACTGAGACAGCTCCTCGTATGTATTTTCACCACATGTATCGCTTGTGCAAATAAACAGAGAATTTCTCTTTGTTGTCCGGAGAGGGAGGGAGGGAATGTGATCTCATCCATTTTCTTTCTCGCGTGGCCGTCGGTTGAACGGGGGAAGTTGCAGGCCATGATGGACAGATCGCACGCTAGCGTTGTGGGCCTATAGGGCGACGTGCGAATGAATGAACACTACACATCGGAGATGCCCGTGACAAGGTGCATCCCGAATTCCAGCCCGAAAAAGAACAATAGAGAATATCCACAGCCCTGTACGCGCCGGAATCGGAGAATCCCAGAGTCTGGGCTAGGCTTCCTGCTTCGGGGTCTTACCTTACCACGCGCGGGTAAACAGTTATTTGGAAATGGGGTGCTCCGCGAATACATTCGACAGATATTGCAATCGAACAGCACACGAGTTGGGTGCGGGTTCAGATGTTTACTACTTATTACATGGGGAAGATTACAACAAGTCGTGAGATGTCATCAAGTTAGTAGTAACACTTTGAGTATGCGCTACATAGCAGATACAAATAAGGATAGAAGCCTCAACGCCAGATGATAGAAAAGGAAAGTATCGATTGCTTGGGCTGTCGGCGAGATACTTCCGGTCGTACTGCTTTGGGGGTGGCAGTGCACTGTCATAGCGGTTTCCAGGCAACGAACACGCCCATGGAGCGGCTGAGTCTTTGCTCCGGCGGCAGAGGAGGAGAGCTCGCGACGTCCCAGCCGTCGACTTGATATGGAGACCTGGACCTGCGCTGATTCCTTTGCTGCCACTGGTCCCATCGCTCGCAGGATGTAATAAACACTTTTCGGTCCTGAGAAGGCGCCAGCGGCTGGCACGGCCATCCAAACTCGTTGCGCAGCACAGAGCCCAAGGCCATCTGCTCTTTCATATCCCTGCATCGTGTATCAAGCCACTGCGCCAAGCAAGAGAAAAAACCACACGCACATCTCGAACCGGACTAGCAATGCATCGAAATCCTCCCGGGTAAGGTCGAGCACGTCATTCTTGAATGCAGCCGTCTCCGGGTCGCTCACAACCAGAGGAAGCCGAGACGAGCGCCGGCCCCCAATCTCGCTAGCAAGCGACCCTGTCCTGGGTCTGCCCGCCGCGCGGTCACGCCGAACTCCCACCTGGTACGACAGAATCCATTCCCACATGGATTCCGAGCACGCGAGAACTTCAGCCATCCGCAGCCCGAGATGCATATTGAGGCTCTGCACATCGATGTTCAGGGTCGAATTCGGCAGCCGATTCAGAGCAGGCCGCGCCACAGGAGACCGGGACGCAAACGACGAGTGTGCAGCCGGAGAGAGCGCAGACATCCGAGAGTCGTCCAAGCTAATGTACCGCGACTCCCGCTTAAGCAGATCTCGTGTCCCCACAAATCGATCCTCGCCCCATGGCGCTGGCGCAGGCAATGACTCGCGTCGAGGGCGAGCGACAATCGCATCTCGCGCGTCGTCCGAGTCGGAAGAATCCGACTCAGCTGCCGGAACAGCTGCCGCTGGAGGAAATGCAAATTGCAATGGAGGATGGGTCCGAACATCTGACAACAACAGCTTAGCTGCAGCTCCCACAGACAGTAACGAGACTCACCCTTGAAGTACAGACCGACCAAATTGGCCAAGAGCGACAACGGGGACAGATTGATGAACCGCGATGCATTCATCTCATTGTAGATCCGCTCCAGAGTAGAATGATCTCGCGGATTGGGAGGTGCTTGGGCCAGTGGTCGGTGCAAGAAAGGGACATTCGCGGGCCGGGCAGGAGGCAAAAGCTCCGATGGGTGCCGGTAGTTTGCGGACGTAGGCAAGGTGGAAGTCGAGTACCCTCGCGGTTTGCCCTTCTTGTCCGTTTCAAGCGAGTTGGCCGATCCAGAGGGGCCATAAGTCTGGCCCGCTTGAGCGGTAGACAGTACTTGATAAGAATGTCGGTACGGTCTATTGGGGACCTCATCCTCTTCTGGGATTGCTCCCACGCTTGTGTTTGGCGTTCCATCATATGAGACTCGAGAACCGCCCGAGCCAGTTATGACCGACGCATCGTCTTCGAGATCCGACCCGTCTGACGGTGGCGGGGCATATCTCATTTCAGAAACAGTATCAGACCTAACATCGTCGTTATCGCTTGCGTTTTCGTCTTCACAAGTCTTGCCAGGGAAAAACAAGTCCTCCTCAATGAACTTTCTAGGGCGTGAGACGGGATACCCAAACACGAGGAGGATGGCGGACCTCGAATGCTCCTCCTGGCTTCAATATCCGGACAATCTCTTCAAACAAGGAATCCCATTTGTCTTCCGGCACTCCGAGCGCGATGCGTTTGATATGTCTGCTGCTGTCAGCGGACCGGCTACGGCAGGAATAGAGTCACTGACACAAAATCAAACTCGTCATTCGGGAATGGCAGTCCTTCGAGGCTGACAGGGATCAGTGCAAGTTAGAAAATAACCGGATGTCACTGACAAATTCGCTTGCACCCAAGTTATCCGGGTCGCAAGTTCAGATGCTCCGAGATCGGGATGCAGAGGCACGACATCCAGACCTGATTCGAATCAACGAGGTTCAAAAACAAGACGGAGGACCAACCAACGAAATGAGAATCCTGGAAGTATCGAGTGAGCTAAGCGGGAAAACAACACATTCGAGCAGCATACCTTCCAAGCAACACCACAGTTCATTACCCAGGTGCCAGTCCCACAACCGATGTCTAATCTAGAGATGCTCAGCGAGTGACGCGAGCAAGAAAGAAGAGAAAAAGCGCATACATTCGGGTTGGTGGTTCCTCAAAAACATGCCAGGTGAGGCTGTTGCAGATGCGCTGGCAGGCCATCGTCTCCCAGACATCGAGGTCGAGAACCTCCCGTGCATAGCTGCGAGGATAGGGAACCTCGTCATGGTCGAACGCGTGATGTTTCGCGCCCATCCGCATGAAGCTCGCCCCTCCCGGCTGGTAGCCGCTGCGGTCATCGAGGCCGCCTTTGATCACGAACTGAGCTGCGCGTGCACTGATGTTCCTCTTGAGTTCCTTGAGAATGGTTCGATCAGCCGTAGAGAACTTGAGATCTTCTGCCAGATGTGGCTTGTCAAGATGCGAATCCACGGTGGGAGTCTTCTCGGCAGAAGGGATGTCGGCGGAATGTGATACGGACTCCGGACCGCTGACGGTGCTTGTTGACACAGGTGGTCGAACAGTGGCTGCGGAGGGCGTTTTTGTGGAGGAGTCTCGGGGAGTGGGATTCGCGTCTGCGTTGTAGGTGGCCGTTCGAAGAATCCGATGTAGACACGCGGGGAGGAGAGGCAAAGTGGCTCGTAGTGGGTGTGGCAACAGGTGTTGCAATCGGTGGTTTCGCTCCTGTGCTTTTGCGGCGCCGGATGCGCGATATATCCGAGAGTATGGACCCATGGCCAGAGGATCCTGATGGCCGCGGCTTGGAAAAGTAGCGAGTCAGCGAGCACTTGAGCGCCACCAAACTGTGACGCACCTGGCGGTAATGGGGGGTGTGGACATTGGGGGTGCCGTTGTTTGGAGCGTGTGACGCATTGTCTATCGGCTTAGAAGCGGCGCCGACATCATATAACGGGGCTGGAAACAGTTCCCAAGGCAAAACGTCCTCACGTTTCCCTGTTGCGACTTCAACGATGTTGTCGGACCCGTTCAATGGTAAACCGTCCAGGGGTATATTCGCCGGGAAGAACTCCCAGGGCGTGACCTGGCCAAGGGGAATGAGATGCCGAACCGAGGATAACGATTTCCTAAAGGACGCACCTCCTCGCGGCCCCCGTGGCTGTAGATGGCCGCTGCGGCTTCTTGACTTGTCGGGATGCAGGGACGGGGCTCCGGGCAGGATTGCGCGGGGGACGAGGCGGAGCTACGGCTGGAGAAGGGTGATCTAGTGTGGGCGTAGTGAATGTATAGGTCGAGTGACGCTTTTGTAGTGGTGGTTTCATGGCGGAACTTGGCGTGCCATCAGCGCTAGCGGCTTTTGTGGGGACGGGATTGCCTCCCGGGCCTGGACTTGTGGCAGGTCGCCGTGAGGACATGAACTAAGCGGCGTAGGCTCGGTGGTCGTGTGTGTCAGGAATGTACAGATGAAGTACAGGAGCGGCGATTGAGACAAGGATGGATGGCTAGTGAGTGGTGTAGACTGCGGATGCTTTGCCCATCGCAGGGTTCAGCGGGTGTAGGCGGGTTCGGAGATGCGAAGCAGTCTGACTTTTTGTTGGCCAAGAATGCAGAATCACGCTCGTGCCTGGTCTGCCATCAATCAGATACGACATGAATAACCACGTGCGCTTGGACGCGTATTTGAATATCGGGGTATCCATGCTATTCAGCCTGCTCGAGCCCGTAGACTAGGCCCAGTGCGACCTGTGCGGCAGCTTTTCTCCGAGAACCCTCGTCGCCCATATTAGCAATCTCCGCCTTCATTCCCTCCAGCGCAGTCATAACCTTGCTCAGGTCGAACGGCGCCATCTCAAAATCATCCCGGCAACCGCCGATCCAAATATCAGACTGTGCATCTCTTCAATCTCGGCATCGGTCGGCAAATCGCCAGCTTCCTCATCGTCTCTATTTTGAGCCTGTTCCCCGCCGCTGTCCACCGCACTCAGGTCAGTCCGGAGCCCAGCGACAAGTAAAGAGGACTCGAATCCGAGGCCCTAACGCGGTCCACCGTCGAACAATCGTCTCGTCCTCGTCATCATCTGGCTCCGAGGTGCTGACACGAACACCGTGAAGT